GAGGGTTCCCACCAGGTCTGACCAAGACTGACCAAGCCATGTTGAAGAGCTTGCTGTTTTTATGCGGTAATGGGTGTTTTTCAGAAAATTTTGAGTAGAAAGATCTTCTGGATAATTTGCATAGGATAATTCACATCAGAAAAATGTTCAGTTTGCAGATCTGATTTTGTATGCTAATTATACTTGCATTTAATGATCACAAAAGTATCAAAGAGTCGCATGTTAATTTCCAGTCCCAGGAAATCGAAATATTGGGCCTGAACTATTGGGGGGGGGGGTGGAAATTAAAGCACAGAATGTGATTTCAATGCTATATTATGCCAATTTTGTACACTGGAATACTTATGAACATAAAGAAATAGCACACACTTTCCTTACATCATCTAAATTTAAGAGGAGACATAAAAATAAGGAAGGCTGCTGACATGCTAATTCATATTAGCAAGCAAAGCAACTGTGCCTGAGATGCCAATTCATCTGTTTCAACAAAATTTTACTCACTTCTATGGAGATTCTCAATGCACTTTCTATTTCCCTCTCACTATTAGTTGTTCTTCAATCTGAGATGTATATAGATTTCAATGTTATACATGTGTTCTCTCACAGGGCAGTCATTTGAGAAAATACAAATTATCACTTTGAATCTACCAAGGTTTCCAAATATTATGTTTGCAATTAGCAGACTTTGGTATTAATGAACTTACAAAGGGGATATTTCTGCCCTGCAGACAAATAACACACTGGAAAGTTTTTCAACCCACATTAGTGTTTTTAGGAGGCGACTGAAGTCTGAGGGTAGGAGACGAGGATGCAACCACCTGGATTCTGTCTGTATCTGCAAACACAGATACTTAACATATTCTCCTGGTTTACTGAGAGACAGTGTGGTATAGTGGTTAAGAACGTGGGACTAAGGCTCGGGCAATCCAGGTTCTAGTCCCCATTGAGCCAGTGCTGTTGTTAAGGGGATAAGATGGAGAGCAGGTGGAAGAAAAGGATGTAAGCCACTTTGAGTTTGTTAAAGTGGGCTATAAATCTAATAAAAAGTGGGCTATAAATCAATAAACTTAAGCATGGGTCACTGTTGAATCATGGGTTACACTATGGGTTAACTATAAATTAACTTTGAACAATCCAGTTATAGAATCGAAAATTTGTTGTTGCGTTGTGAACTCCGGATTGCCGTTGTTAACAGCCCAATTTTAAACCACAGTGCAGGTTTGCCTGTGATAACCTACAATTCAACAACAACCTGCACTCAATCCAAATTCTGGGTTGTCGGTTCATGCAAACCAGGTTGGTACTGAACTCACGAAGGCAAGCACAATTAAGATTTTTTTCTTCTTTCCTTCCCAAATGTACTAAACACTGTGTCCCCCTGAGGGTTTGGATCGCAAATTGTTGGGAGAGGGAGTCCCTACGCAAAAATTGAGGATTCTAAAAAGAACAGCCATTCCAGCTCTTCACAAGCACTACCTTGTGTTCTGTGACTATAGAAGGGTCTCTAGCCCAATGCCGATAGCACCAGCTGACCGATCAGAATTTCCGGGAAGAGCCATCTCACCAATGAACGCAACTAGCATTGTGCTAGGGGTTTCTCACACTGGTGCAATGCATTAGTGGCCACGACGACAGATATTTGGGCTTTACGTTAATTACACATATACCTCGTAAACATTTTAAAAAGTCAAACAAATGTGTAGAATGTCCAAAATGTTCGAATAGCCCCACATTACCACTGGCAGCAGCTTTGTGTGTGATGTTATTTGAGGATTTTGAGTTCACCTTTGTTTCTAAATGTCTTTTCTGTTGTACAGTACAAAGGACAGGATACAATTGTGATGGTTGCTCTGAATACTTGATGGAAAAGCAATTTATAAATAAGGTCTGGAAATAAGACTTTTTGATGTTGTAGGCATCAAGGAAGGGGCATTCTTTGTGGAAGCTATTTTTGTGTTTTCCCTCTTTGTGGAAGCTATTTTTGTGTTTTCCCCTTGTCAATCATCAGCAGGAGGTGTATCTGTCCAACTTCCTCTCCGTTTTCCGCAGTAGGTTAAAATCTCAACAAACAAGGTGGCCATCTGGCTACCTCACTCAAACTAATCTTGTAGCTTTATTATTTATCCTTTAAAGAAAGCATGAAGGGAAACGGTTCCTCGCAAGACATCTTACCAAAAAAGCTGTTCTAAAAACCATAATAAAATATGCACGAAACAATGCACAAAGCGAAAATACGTGCACTATCGTCAATCTGCTGTGCAGGGCAGAACAAAACACGTCTTGGCTGCCTAAACATCCCAAGTCACTGGGTTTGGCAGACACTTCTCAGGAAGGACTTTCGTAACCATGGTCCCATGACACTGAAGGCACTGCTCTGGGTCACCAGTGGTTCAATGCCTGGAAGGAAAACATAGCATGGGCTTATCCTATCATACATTTGTAAAAAATTGCAAATGTCCCCTGTCTCCATCCAACTGTTGTTGGACTTCAACCAACTGGACCCTCAAAGGCTAGGTAGCAGACGCAAGTGGACATACCAAGCTCGCTGCATCGATTTGACTCATCCACCCCTAGAAACAAGCTACTGGTGAAAAGATCTGGCTTTAGCCATCCGATCCCTGCCCGCTCAGAAAGAGATTCCACCACATTGAGTGCCAGGCAACTTGTTATGGGATTACAGCCGAAATATGGGAACTGTCCAAACAGATGGACAGAGCTCCCCCCGCCCCATTTTTTCCTCTTTTCAGCTTCACTCTTAGTCCAGTCTTGCCCTCAAAAACACAAAGTAGGGAACAAAAGTGAAATGCTCGTGAACAACGGCTCAAAGCCATGCAGACGCGCTCAGTTCATCCTCATGCTTGGATTGGCCCTGCAAATAAAAAAGGCTTCACTGCACTCAGTTTCTCTGATACAGACTGACTCAGTGGAGAGATCAACTTGATGGCTAACAGTCTTCCATCCAGATTTAACCGAGCTACTATTTAAAGGACAGTGTGGTGCAGTGGTTAGTGTGACGGACTGGAGATCAGGATTCTAGTCTCTCTTTATTTCTACACCACCCATCAGTCCATTCAGACATTAAGCTCACCGAAGAGTGACTTTGAGTCACAGACTCTCAGTCCAGCCTACCTCACAGAGCTTACAGTCCTTACAGGGCTGTAAGGATCAAATGAAGCTATGTGCTCTATTTTGGGTTCCTCACAAAAGAAAAAAAGGATATATATAAAATCTAATAATATCTAAGACAAATTCAGTAGTAACATTTAAAAAACCAACAAAAACTCAAATTTGACTTTTGAAAAATCCTCTGTGTGTGTGTGTGCATGCATGCATATGTATTAATGTATTTTTATCCACCCTGAATTATAGCCCCCACCCCACTTCCACCGTTTACAAGTATCTTCCAATGATGGTGGCAGGAAGGCCAAGTTCATTTTCTCAAGACATCAAGTCGTTGCCTGCAGGAGTCTTCAGCTTGGAGAAACACAGAACAAAATCTTGCAGGCAGAAACAGTCTTGGCTGTCCATTGAGAATGTGTCGCAAATGCTCCCTTTGTTTCATCTATGGATGGTCCACATATTTTCATACAAGGTCATCAGAAAATGGACCCTTGATAGGATACTTAGAGAACCACTTCAGCCCATTTCAGCATCACAAGGTGAAATCTCACATCTCAGGATGACAGTCCAACTTATTATTATTAATAATAATAATAATAATTACATTTCTATACTGCTCATAGCCAAAGCTCTCTGAGCAGTTCACAAAGTATAAAATGGATAAAAACATTAAAATTAATTTAAAATAGATTAAAAGCATTAAAAAGACAACAAACTACTTAAAGTTTGGCTTGTTCCAAGGCTGGTATAGTGAACCCCAAGTTCCTTGAAATGCCATTAGACCTAAACAACAAAGCATAAATGTATAAAGTACAGAGAAAGGAGCTCAATGCATAGAGCATGGATGCCAGAACAATGAATGCTTCCAACCTTTGAATAAATCCCATTTCAACAAGCAGGAACACTCATAGAATCATAGAAAACTAGAGTGGAAGGGGCCATGAAGGCCACCGGGTCCAACGCCCTGCTGTTGCAGGATGCCAATTTACACCATCCCACTCAATGGCTGTCTAGTTTGTTTCTGAATGGCTCCGGTGTGGGAGAGCCCACCGCCTCTCCAGGCAGCGGGTTCCACTGCCGTGTTGCTCTGAGAGTGGGGAAGCTCTTCCTGATGTCCAGCCTGAATCCGAGTTGCCTCATACCCTAGCTGAGCCCAGTACAGATCTATCTCTCCTCTTCCCACACCCCAGAGTTTGCCTCCAGAAACTGCAAACCTTCCAGTCACTCCTTCAGCTTGACTCAGGTCTGACACACAGCACAGACCTTCGCTTCTCCCACAAACAGATGCTTCTTCTGCGGACACGAACTGTTTCTCCAAGCAGCTTGCTGTGGCTTATTTTCCTCCTTGGCTGCCTAATCAGTGTGGTCACCTTTGCTGGGCGTGGGTTGCCGTCACATCTGAACCCAGCAGGGGGAGAGGCTGGCTGGCTGGCCTGGGTTGCAAAGCACCCAAGCAACCTGAGAACTAGCCACGGGTTCCAGCATGGCTTGTAAACCGCCCCAGCCACACAGCCTTGATGGGTTTGGGTGTCACAACCTCCTGTGCTGGCTGAGGGTAATAGTGCTATTAGTCAGCTGGCAACCGGCCCATGCAGGGGCGGAAAATAAACCCCCAAATTGTTTTCCAACAGTGCAGACTTGGTTTCTCTTTAAAACCTTGCACAGTCAGTCGCTGCTGTCTCCGATGCAGCTTCTGGGTTTGTCCCACTGTCTCAGGAAGCCCCTCAACCAGCCATGACACCCTCTTAAATGCAACTCAGGCCAGCATGGTGCAGTGGTTAAGAAAGCAGGACTGGGACTCAGGAAATCCAGGTTCAAATCCCCACTCAGCCATGACACTCACTCACTTTGGGCCAGTCACAACTCTCAGCCTGACCTACCTCCCAGGGTTGTTGCTGTAAGGACAAAATGGAGAGGCGGGTTCATTTCACCCTCCATCAGTCTGGCTGCCCAAAAGATCAGGGTCACTGGCAGCTTCCATCCTGGACATCTGTAGGGCAACAGGTTGGGAAAAGCTGCCATGGAGATTCAGAGATGCAGCAAAGGAAACTTTACTCATCTTTTCCACTCGATTCATCCCCCCACTGCTCCTGATGCAGGAGGGAGAAAAGGACAAGCAAGCAACGAAGACCACAGCATCTGGGCCATCCCCGTCCCCCAGGAGGGCCATCTGCAACCCGCTGCCCCATGGGAAGGACCGTGTTGACTCGCTATACTACAATATTCTTTATTGTATTTTTTAAAAAAAATGTTTTGATGTCATTTGTAAGAAACCTAGGAAAGATCTGTGCCGAGAGAGAGAGAGAGAGAATAGGACAGCATAACAGTCATAGGTAAATAACAAACACAGGACCAAGAAAATGCCAAATTGACATACAGTCCTGCACTTCGGATAACTCAGCGGAGGCTCACCCTTATGGAGCTGTTCCACAGTCATGGGTGGAGTGAACAGCTGCTTGACTGGCATTGCTTATCAGTGAAAAGCAGCATCCAAGTCCATGACCAGCCCATGGCTCAGGGAGTCCACCGACTGGCAATCACTCAGTTGCCAATCGCTGTGTCCTCAGTCATGGCAGCTGTTGGAAATGGGGTAGAGCCATGATTCAGAATTTAACAGGGGAACTCACACACCGATCTTCTAGGAAAGATGAGGGTTGCCTGCTGGGAAGAACCCATTCTCAGTTGCGGCCTTTCTGTGCTTCGGTGCCTGCCTGGTCCATGGGAGGCTTCCAACAGACAACTCAACAGGCTTCTTTGAAGCAACTGCAGAATCCAGCATGCTTTGACGCAGCCTTGTAAGTGTGCCCAGAAAAACTAGTAGCCTGCACATAGTTTGACTAGCCTGCTACCAAACTAGTAGACTGTGCTTCTTTATTTATGAAGCAGCAGCAGTTTCTTCATTGTCCTCTACCAACATGGAAATACAGAGCTGTTCACACTTCACAACAAACCTTCAGTTGAATTACAGCCCCGATTGGCTACCATGCATGAACAACTTCACAACATAACCCACGATCCGCTCATTTGCAGGTTGTGCAGCATGACACCTGAACCTGGACCACCGGGTTGTTTAGGGGCTAAACAGCTCAGCTGCTAACCCAACAATAAGCCTGGACTGGGGGCTGGGCTGCTTCGCCAGCCCCCAGGGAACCTGGCAGAAGGGATGACTGCACTGCACCAGCCATGCAGGAGCTGATCATGGGTTGTAGCCAAAGCAGAAGTGGGTGCGCCGCAGACAGTGGGCCCGTCCATGCATAACTACATGTGAACTGGATTGCATAGCAGACTAGAAGAAAAAAGAGAAGTGCTCTATGAAACCAGGGGGGAGGGAGGGCAGAAGAGAGGCAAAGCAAGGTCTTTTGCCTCCAGCAGCCCAGAATACTTCAGTGGAGGAGAAGATATCCCTACCACTGTGATCAACATGGGAACCAAGCAATCCGAAGGAAGAAAGATCTGTTTGACCTACCGGCTCAGTAATTCAACTGCTTGGAACTCATTGTCACCTACGGAGAGCAAGCAAACTGCTAAATCCACGGCTACTTTAACCCAGACTATCTTCTAACCTGGGTCTGTTGGAACTTAGGATGTTCCACCTCTAGTTCAAAAAAATAAATGGAAACTGCCAACTAAAAGTTTCAGGACAAGTCACTTCCAGCAAACTAGGAAACAATCAGAAGACCTGATGAGTCAATCAGAAATGCAGGAAAAGGAGTGGCTGCTTGTCCGGGCAACTCTGGAGACTCCTGGAGCACCCCGGCCTAGTCAAGAAACCAGAATGGCCACAGATAAGGAGGATGTAAGGTTTTGTTTGCTTGTTCACCAAATCACACCCCTCTACAAGCAGGTGTCATCGACACATTAAGCCTCGGATGCACAAATGCAATCCTGAGCAGCAGCAGTGCCTAAACTGCAAGCATGAATCTTTGTGAGAGCCAGTGTGGTGTAGTGGTTCAGAGCATGGGACTGGGACTCAGACAATCTGGGTTTGAGTCCCTGCTCGGCCAGAGAGCCAACTGGGTGACTTCGGGCCAATCACAGGCTCTCAGCCCAACCTACCTCACAGGGTTGTTGTTGTGGGGAGAAGATGGAGGAGGAGAATGATGGAAGCTGCCTTGAGCCCTTTGTAGGAAAAAGGCAGGATAAAAATTGGAAAATAAAGAAACAATTCAGCATAGGTTGGATCCCTCTCCTTTGACCTGCATTTTGCCTATCCAGGAGCATCTCCTGAAGCTTCCATTTGTTCGTCCACATTCCGTCCATTACAGATATCAGAACTTTACAGGGTTCAGAACTAGAACAGCATCCTTAGATCTGGATAGAAAGGAGATAGAATGGGGTGTCATCAGAACACTGGTGGTACCAAATTCTAGAACTCCGAATTACCTTTCCCAGTGGTTCCATGTACATGTTAAATAGCATGAGGGACAAGAGCCCTGAGGAGCTGTGAGCAGGAATCTCAGCTAGAGACCTCCAGAGCTATTACAGGCACCAAACTCTCTTAAGAACGGTGTATCAGGTCAGCTGGAAATTAGGGGGTTTAAAACAAACCAACAAGCAAACCAACCCTCACCATTACTTGTTTTAAGCACCCTTCCCACCCTGACTACTTTAATAAGCCAAGAAAGGCTAAAGTCCACAAGTAGTCAAATTGACGCAGTAAGCGCCTCTCCACCAAGAAGCTTGTATAACTGGAAAAGCATCCATCATAACCAGACAAGTCCAGGCCAAAATGACATTCATCAGACTTGCATCAACCCTAACACCCAACCCGGCATGGAGATGGTCAATTTTATCTGCAAGTGTTGGACGAACTGGGCTACCAAGTAGTCCACTTTTTTCTCCTTGGAGGTCAGAGGGCAACCGGCTCCCAAGCACCCAAAAAAGCCCAATTGTTCTACATATCGGCACTCTGTGGGTCATAAAATCCTCTTCATCACCCAACAGGACAAGCTGTTGGAAGCTTGGTAAGCTGTAGAGTCTCACAGCCGAGGTCCTGCCTATACCATCACAGAAATCGGTGTTTTAATTTTTCCCACCTGTTGAGGTGTACAATGGTGATTTTAACACAAAGCTTTGCAACCGCATGCAGTTAAGTTTTAGGGATGAAAACAAAACGCTAGGGGATTTCAGCTAGAGGACTTAAGCTGCAGTCCGGAAAGGAGTCCCACTGCACTCAGCGGTGTTTACATATAAGTAGACACATCTTTGCAATGTACGGCTGTGAAAGCTGGATCATAAGGAAGGCTGAGCGCTGAAGAATTGAGGCCTTTGGTGCTGGAGGAGACTCCTGCAAGTCCCTTGGACTGCAAGGCGATCAAACCGGTCAGTGCTAGAGGAGATCAACCCTGACTGCCCTTCCGAAGGCCAGATACTGAAGATGAAACCCAAATACTTTGGCCACCTTCTTAGAAGGAAGGACTCCCTGGAGAAGATCCTAATGCTGGGCACAATAGATGGCAAAAGAAGGAGGGGACAGCAGAGGATGAGCTGGCTGGATGGGGTCACTGAAGCAGTCAGTGTGAGCTTGAGTGGACTCCGGGGGATGGTGGAGGACAGGAAGGCCTGGAGGAATGTTGTCCTTGGGGTCACGATGGGTTGGACACGACTTTGCGACTAGCAACAAGACACATCTAAGGAAAAGTTTTGAGTGTACTACTCTCGGAATGGTCATTCTCTTACAGACATCCTTCCCTGCCTTGTTCTTGGATGTAAAGTATCTAACCCACATACCACTAATGCACTCGTCCTAACTTATCAGACTCAAGATAAGAGATCACATAGCAGCTTTCACCTGAAACCAACCCGGTGATTAAGCAGTTCAAAAAGACAGAAGTCAGGGTGGGGCAGAGAAGAAATAACTTTCCAATCAAGCAGCTACACAATGCTTCATGGGACAATAGGAAGTTTGTCCAGGAGAAGGAGAAACAGGACTTTGGTTTTATGGGAAGGTCAGTATGAGGAGAGAAGTCCCCTGTAAGAAGCTCTCACGGCATCTTAATTTCCCTTTAATTAAGACTGCTGAGTTAGATAGTATTTTAGGAGTTGTCTTAAAATACAAAGAAGAGCTGTCTTCCTAAGCACATCATAAATGAAACATTTCATGCCTACTTATATTTCTAGCATAAGATTTCCAGAGATATTGCAGCTTTATTTGTAACAGCGTAAGCACTTACGCGCAATTAGGCGATCGACGCCGTTTATTCTTTAAGATTACAAGAGAAGGAAGGGCCCCTTCACAAGTGCCCCCTCTCCGGAGGGGCCACAACACACCGAGTACGAAAATGTTTTTGTTACTTCGAGAAGCCAGGCGCAGCTCTGCATAAGCGAACTTGTTACACCGACCTCTCCGAACGGCGCTTCATTTCCTGAAAGGTTTTCTGGCTTTTCGAAAGTAAATCCCAGCGGAGCGGAGCGAAACGCACGCACAATGGAAAGCTTGGATCGGCCGCGAGAAAGACGGCAACGCGGAGACTGCCCGGCCGGCCTCGTAGGAACGGAGAGCGGAAGGATGCCCCTCCGTCCGACCTCCCCCCAGCGGCAGCGAGGAGGGGGCGAGGAGCGAGGAGGGGGCTCCGGGAAGGGAGAGCGCCGTGGGGCTTGCAAGCGGGGCGGGACGCGCAGGCTTTTTCTCGCGGAGCAGGAAACCAGCCTTACCCGCTCCGTCGGAAGCGAAGTTCACCAACTCGGGGGACGCCAGCCCAGCAGCGGCGCTGGAGGAGCGGGTTCAGTTGCCGCCCCGCGGCCGGGGGTCCATGAGCGCACGCGCTCCGCGGTGCACGGCTGGCGCACGGCGATCCGGGCAGGCGAGAGCCGGGTCCCCAGGCGGCGCTGCGCTGCGCTGCCCTGCCCTGCGCCGCGCCGCGCCTCCCTCGGCTCCCTAGCAGGACAGGAAATCTCCTGCGCCGCTGGCCACGCCCGTTTTACGAGCTGTCCGCGCCGGGGCGGCTCGCAGCGAAAGGGAAGTGCCAGCCAGGCAGCGCGTAACATCCGCCAGCCTGCTGCGCCGCGCTAAGGCTCGGCGCTCGAAAGCGGCAGGGCGGGCGAGCGGGTCTGGGAGGCGAGGCGAGCCACGGAGGGCTGCGAGCCACGGAGGGCTGCGCGCCCCTTCGCCGCCCGCGCAGCTCTTCCGAGCTCGCGCCTGCAGCCCCTTCCCCGCCTGCCTTCGACTTTCCCAGGGCGGGTTGCTTCCCCCGCGCGTCTTCTCTCCATATGCTGTGCCCCGAGGACGGCGCTCTCAGGCTTGCCCTGTTTCCTTCCAGGGAACGTTCCGGGCTAACCGATGCAGGATCCACCTGTTGCTCCTCCTCTTGGTCTCTGGGACTGGCAAAGTTCTCCTCCTGAAACATGTTTCCAATGGTCCATTTTCCTATCCTAATCAGATCCGGCTGTTTGCGAAACACTCAACAGTGTTGCAATATTTGTGAGTGCAAGACAGTGGTTTTGTTTTTAAATAGGAGTTTGTGGAGGTTTTCAAAAACAACACACACTCAAGGAAAAGCTTGTATCAGCTACCAGAAAATGGCTGGTAGTTGATACAAGCTGACCTTTCCTCGGGTCACTGGCTTTCAGTCCGGCTGTTTGGTGCAGTCAGAGGAGGGAGAGTGGCTAGGACTGCCTGGAAGGGGTGGCAGGCAAGTTGATCCGCTCAGCCCCTTTTGCAAGAGGGGAGCTTCTTCCCTTTTCTTGCTTTGGCCTGCAGATCATTTCTATTCTGGACCTATGATTGGCTATTCAAAAGGCCTTCCCTAGGAGGAGCTGATACACAGCCTTAAAGGCCGGTCCAGGTGAAACCTGGAACTGTTACAGGATCACTCAGCAAAGTCCTTCCTGTGCAGGTTTTGCCATGTCTGAATCCACCTTCCTTTCTCCACCTGCTTTTTGTAACCTCTTCCTTGGCAGGACTCCTTGCTTGCATGTTTTTGTGTGTGTTTGGGGGGTGGGCTTTTAAATTGGCCTAATAAAGAATTTGGTATTTTTCTTACTGCTTACTCTGCTAATTTTTAGTTTTCTTCAGCAGCTGCCTCTCTCAAATGTAGCGATGTGGGGTTGTGATGGGGAAAACAACCTACGCTGAAATTCAGCATCCCCTCAAAACCGGTGCCAAAAATGCCTGCAGCTTCATGCCACTGATTGTATTTTGTGGCCGCACCTCTATGTGTGTGATTGACACCTCTTGCTCAGGGCCCTGCTGAATGTTACACTGTTTAAAATAAGTTCATTCTGGATTTATATTGTATCTGTATTTTTATTGTACTTCTGTTTTGTATTTTTGAGAAATTGTTGAGAACTGCCCAGAGAGTTTTAGCTACTGGGCAGTATAGAAATAAAATATATTGATGATATCTCTGCAATATTTTGTGACATTCTTGGCTCTGAATGGCATATCCAGTTGGGACTTAGCTGGGGATTTGAATCTGGAACTGCCCAGATTTAGTGCAGTACTGAAACTACTTCAGGGTAGGCAAATTTGATGTTCTGGGCTACTAATCCCCATCGGCCCCAGCCAGCCTAGCCAATGGTGGGGGTGATGGGAGTTGTTATCCCAAACATTGTAAGGGCACCAGGTTAGGGATGGTGGAGTCAATCTAAACTTGCAACTGGGAAAGAGCCGATCTGCCTTTTGCAGTGCTGCTGTACTGCTCTCATGAGAAACTCACATGGGCTGGATGATTCCTCTTTCCTGGACTGCAGTAGAAAAGCAAAGATGTGAACTCAGCAGAAAAGGGGTGTGTGTGCAACAACTCTATGGAGAGGTGGAAATATGGCTGTACCAGAGATGGGGTGGCTTGCTGGAGGGAAAACAGGAAAATGTGTGAGGGGGAGAGGGAGACAGATGTTTCAAAACATTTTCCGCTGCCGTGTTTGGAATATGCTGTGGAGTCCCCCCACTTTTCCCAATTTCTTCCCATGCTTTCACTTCTCTGTGGGGGTCTCCTCAGTAAGGCCTTCCACACCTCACCCTCCCACAGTCACCTGTAACATCTTCTATCATTCTTTTCTCACAGCAGAAAAGCCATTAAAAGGAGGGGCAGGAAGTGAAATGTCTGCCTTCTGATCAGGAGTGTTAGGTGCCCTTCATCCAAAAGTACCTTTGGAAAAAGCAGCTCCAGGTTGGAGTTCAGAAGCAGCTGGGGAAAGGGTCCTAAACCTTCTCCCCATATGCCATTCTTCTTCTGCAGTTCCTTCTCCCTGCAATTTTTCCGCTAGTAGCATTTCCAAAGTATGTTTTCCAGGTATGCACCTTTGTGGTACCACCTGGTGGGTGATGAATGGGAGGTAAAATCATAGAATAGTAGAGTTTAGAGGGGCCACGAAGGTCAACAGGTCCACCCCACTGCTGTTGCAGGACACCAATTTACACCATCCCATTCAAGGTCCAGTTTCTTCTTGAATGTCTCCAGTGTGGGACAGCCCACCACCTCTCTAGGCAGCTGGTTTCACTGTCGTGTTGCTCTGACACTGAGGAAGTTTTTCCTGATGTCCTGCCTGAATTGCTGGGTTGTCACAGCTTGAGTTGAATATTCCATGTCCTACACTCTGGCATCAGCAAGAAGAGATCTTGACCTTCCTCTTTGTGACCGCCTTTGAGGTACTTCTAGAGGGATATCATGTCCCCCCTCAGTCTTCTCTCCTCAAGGCTGAACATGCCCAGTTCTCTCAGCCTCTTCTCATAGGGCAGGGTTTCCAAACCCTGGATCATTATTGTTGCCCTCCTCTGGACCCGTTCTAACACTTGTTTGTCTTTCTGTCAGTCCAGGGTATTCATAAAGCTCTCCTCCAGCTTCTTAGGCACCAAGTTGCTGGACATTTTATAGAGAAACACAATTTTCCTGTATCCTTATTTTCATCCTTGGGCAGTTTTATATATTCCATCTACATCTCAAGAACTACCAGCTTCCCTCTTCTCCAAGTTTGGGAGGAGGAGGAATCATAGAATAGTAGAGTTGGAAGGGGTCATGAAATCCAGCCCCCTGCTGTTGCTGGACACCAATTTACACCATCCCACGCAATGGCTGTCCAGCTTCTCTCTGATTGTCTCCCGTGTGGGAGAGCCCAGCACCTCTCCAGGCACCTGGTTCCCCTGTCGTGTTGCTCTGGCAGTGAGGAAGCTCTTCCTGATGTCCAGCCTGAATCTGGGTTGTCACAACTTGTTATGTTGGAGGAGGTGAGTTAAACACCCTCGTTTTGCTTCTCTGCCCCAAATTACCCCTTGAATCTGCTTTTCCCTCAGAGGCCATGGCACTTTGATGAAAAGGTAATACACAAGCAGTTTGTACAGATGTTGTTTGACTCCTCTGCAGCAGCAAAGAAAAGCAAGTGCACTTGGCCAGCAGAGGTCACTGTTGTAACACAACTGCCCTGAATATAAAAAGATTTGCTACTGCTGATGTTTTAATTCAAGCAAAACTGAAAAGAGCTTTCAAAATGTTACTAATCCAATCCATATTTTGGCTCTTCCAATAGAGCACACTGTTAATGCATTCTTCAGCTTAATTTATTCCATTATCGCTCAGATATCTTTGTTTCCTGTTCTGTAGCAGAGAAGTTGTAACAATTCAATGAGCAAGCCATGAATGTTTAGAGCGGAAGAATGCTTACTGGGAAATACCGGCCATGGACAACTATGAGTTATAAGGGACTATTCCTGTCTACATTTATAGGATTGTGCCTGGAAATTGTCTTATTCTGAATTTACAGCTCCCACTTGGTTAAACCACAAGAGCTCAAGGCAAACTCATATCAGTGAAGTCCTGCAAATTGGAACAGTGTTTAGGCAGAAGAAAAGCTGGCCAAACCACACACGGTATCTCCTGGCAGAATGGCATCCTATAGTGTAGTTATAGGGCAAACTTCACATTGCAAAGTCAGAGCCCCCTTTCCACAGCTGGTCAATGTTTTTGCACCAGAGTGTGCAAACAAGAGTGTGGGAATGCAAACACGTACCTCTAAATCCAGAGCTTTACAACAAATCGACAGACTGGCAGGAATACAAGAAGGCATTCTGCCTGATATCTGCTAGTTCAAGCTGATGTTTCGTATTAAGGAACTGGTGTGTCAGCAGCTGTAAGGTCAACATGAATATTGGGGAGCTTGTCATGACAAAGTTTGAGGATCCACCATCCTGTACTTCTGAAGCCCTAGCAGGGGCATAGTACCAAATGTTGGGATGCAGGTGCTCATCTTTCCCCAGGGCTGTGTGCCAGAGAAGAGTCCCAAATCACAGGTAGCTACAAACCACTTCTAGCAGACTTTCCCTCTCCCAGAAGTGGATAGAAGTTGCTTGTCTGTTCAAGGTCAAGGCACCCCAAAATACTTTGCATGGCAACAAGGAATACACTGTTGCTGGGAGAATTCTTTCCCCAGCTCCTGTAAGGATCGCAACCAAGATGAAAGGAACAGGGATTTTTAGCGGGGAGGGAACAGATATGGTCAAGGCCTCTGCTGAGAAAAAGTGCCAACGCTAGATCTCTCCAAGCTTTGCCTCCATTGCTCACAGCTTAATAGCTTTTGCTCCGGATTTCTCTTCCCGTTTACATGCAAAACCTCCTGCTGCCAAAGGCTTCTGCATCAGGGACCCCACATGGTTCCCAGGGCCGTCTTGACAGCATGATGGGCCCCAGGCAAAGCAGTGTACTGGGGCCCCTACGACAACTACGGTTAATTTTGGAAGTTTTCCCATTTTCCAAGGGTTAACATACACAAATTAGTATGGGGCCCACGGGCAAGTGCCCATTAGGCCCATGCGTTCAGACGGCCCTGATGGTACCCACAGGGGCCTCCAAAAAGGCCCTTCCTCTTTCAAAACCAGACTTCAGATATAAAACTAAAAAACCTTAGGCTGCCTGGCTCTCTCCTTCTCCCTGAATCAGCTGCTTTCAGCAAGCAGGAAAAGAAGGAAAGAGCTTCTTTCTGCTCCATCCAATCATCTTCCATCATTCTCCGCTCCTCAAGAGAACCATTTTGTGGTGGTGCCTACGGCTGTTCCCAAATAGAGTGACAGGTCCAGAAAGCTGAGGGATCCCTGCCCTACAATTTAGGGCCTGCATCTAGGTAATCAGCACACTTCTGGCCTGCACTGTTTCTTGCAGTGTGGATTATCCCAAAGGTTTTCTTTCGGTGGGAAAAATGTCTCCTGTATGCACTTAATTTAAGCCACGCAACCTAGAAGTGCAGTTTCTGATAGATTTGTTCTCCTGGTGCCCACTCTCTGTCTGTCCTGATTTTTATTCCCTGAGATTTGTTTAAAATTAATTCTTCCTTATTGCACCTCTAAGCTACCCAAAACCCGTAGCTCTTGGGAAGGTTAATGTTAACATCGGGAAACACATTAATGAGAAAGGTGGCATTCTTGTTGTGAGCCAAAGCGCTACTTTCACTGCCAGGGTTCCGTGTGGTTTTGTCTTTTGCACCTCAGGCCCAGTTCTGTCCTGCATTTGTTTTGGGGTATGCAACTTTCCATTTGCCTTCTGTTTTGTGACTAACCCGGACAGCTATTTTTTGAACTAGCAACATCTTCCCATGGCAGCCATGTTGTGTGTGCACCCACAACTTTTTCAACATTCCAAATATGCCCACTGACCCGAAATATTGGGGAACGCGATGGAGAACCATTTTCCTGGTCCACTGTTTTTTCTGTGAGAGACCAGATGGAGCATTGTTGTTTATGCACACGCAGTAAAAAGTGAAGGTGATCTAACATAATAGACAATGCCATCAGCGGGGTTCCTAGCGGGAGGCTGCTACTGCTACATCAGTCCCAACAAACAGGATGGATTAGGCCCATGCCAGATGCACCTACTTGGCTCTGGCCTTCCAGCACCTGCAGGAGCCACCTGGCATCTCAACATGGAAAGCCGCTGTTTCGCTATTGGGGCAAGCATGTATGTCCCACAGACCAACCTGAACAGGTTCTTGGTGCCCTCAAGCAGACAGTGGCTTGACCTTCTGATGCTCACCATCTCTCCAACGGTGAAGGCTTTGAAGATGGACAAGATGGAGGAAGGAAATGCTGGGGAGAGAGGAGCTCAGCTCACCCCACTCCCCAGGGAGCACTCCTGATTGGCTACCGAGGCAACGATCTCACAATGAGAAACTGTGACATCAGCCCATGAGGCAGGTCTGAGGTATCTCCACAGCCTCCCAGAACAAAGCAAACTCAGCAAGCAGCACCTGGAGAGCATCTGGACTTTTTATATTTGTGGAAACAGAGAACCTAGAGGCTGTCTATGAGGTCTTCAGGTGTTGCCACCACCAAGACGATGGTCTGTTAGTGGGGAGTACACAATGCAGCTGAGACACACAGGCGAGCAATGGGTTTAAGTAGCACACATAACTACACTGCAGCTATGTGTTTACTCAGAAGCAAGCCCTGTTGCAGTCATCCAGGCTTACTTCCAGCAAGCACAGGCGGGATGGCAGCCCATGCATCAATCACACAACACCCCTGCATGGTCGTCAGTGTAATTAATATCATAAACTGGGTACAGCCTTGCCTAAAGGGATTTAACAGAGGACTTCCCAGCTTGCGCTCTTAACAAAGAAGTGCATGTCACATGTAAGGATTTGGAAGTCAAACCCTGTTGGCAGTCCTCTTTCAGTTTTAGGGTATTGGAAAGCAGCGCAGCACGTGTTATGTTAAAGAGGTTGCATGCAACTTTGTGTGGCAGCTTTTAAAATGTAATAGTAGGCAGAAACAGGGGTGGGGGGTTGTTCTGAACAGGAGCAGAGAAAAAGAAGAGTAAACCCCTCTCTCCTCCAAGGAAACCCTTTCAAAAGCTGCCCCTTTGCTTGCTACAAGTTGCAAGAAAACTACTCCTGCCCCTGCCAACCAATTACAGCATGGAGGTTGATTCTGGTCAGGAGGGAAGGCACTGCAACTCCAATTAAAATGATGCATTAACAAAAATATTACTTCCGAATCATGAGTAGTAGTAGGTCCTTCATACTTCTCATTAATCAGAACTCATCTGGAATACTGTGTCCAGTTCCGGGCACCAAGATTTAAGAAAGATGCAGGAAAATCAGAAAGGGTCCACAGGAGGGCAACAAAAATGATCCAGGGTTTGGAAACACTGCCCTGTGAAGAGAGACTAAGAGAACTGGGCACGTTCAGCCTTGAGAAGAGAAGACTGAGGCGGGACATGATATCCCTCTATAAGCACCTCAAAGGCTGTCACAAAGAGGAGGGTCAGGATCTCTTCTTGCTGATGCCAGTGTAGGACACAGAATAATCAAGTCAAGTTGTGACAACCCAGATTCAGGCAGGACATCAGGAAAAGATTTCTCACTGTCAGAGCAACACGATAGTGGAACCAGCTGCCTGAAGAGGTGGGGGCTCTCCCACACTGGAGACAGAAACTGGGCAGCCATTGAGTGGGATGGTGTCATGTGGTGTCCTGCAACAGCAGGGAGTTGGACCCAATGGCTTTCATGGCCCATTCCAACTCTATGATTCTATGAATTCTCCAGGGCTTCCTAGTGACTATGTTTACACTGAAAACAGTGCACCGAAAACCAAGCAATATTCACTTTTGTAATGATTTTGAATGTCTTTATTAGCTTTCTCTCATCCATTCTCTGCACAGATACCCAGATACTCCTGGCAGTTTTGTTCCAACTGGAAACCATCCTGGCCTGATCTTAAAATTTTAGATCAAGCCCTTCATCAAACCAGTAAGACAAAGACACAAAGAGACACTGGATATCTGGAGCCAAGAGAACTAAACAATGGGACCTTGTGCTCAAGGTATTTGCAAACAATTTAGTGCCTAGCATAGATACAGTGTGAGTTTATAACCAAACATTCTAGTCCAGTTTTATAACTAAGAGGTCAATGTGTATCTATTTTTTATCTTCTGAAGGTTGAGGCTTGATTTTCTTAAGCGCATCAATGACCACATCAAGGCTCACTTTGTCTCCAAATTCCTTCTCACGGTGCTCCAGCAGAACACCCTAAAAGGGAAGGAGAAAATATGGGTTAGAAATGCACCTGTGCACAAGATTTTATTACAGTACTGATATTTCCCTAGCTATCTGATTCTTGCCCCTGAAGGATCTGATTGCCAAAGGACAGATCCCCAATCCTCTTTAATAAACCCAAAGTTTTCTAGTCCTTATTATTGAGATTTAAGAGCAAAACAGAACGCCAGTGTTCAGAGGTTCGCATTGTTGCAACGTATCCAGTCCTACAAAAGTCACGATCTATAGAAGTTTTCATCCGCCAGTCGACGGACCAGCACCGTTCTGCCAGATACCCCGTCGGTCCATGAAAGAGCTGCATCCTGCTCACCGCAGACCAGTGCGGGGGCTCACTGTGCTCCACCACCTCTTCCTCAGTTCACATCATGTTCGTGGGGGGTGTGCTGGTGCTGCCAGGAGGGCTGGGGAAGGGAGACATGGCTCGAAGGGAGCCAGCGGGGAGCTGCCCAGCACCAGGTCTGCCTCTAGCCAGGGCTCCAAAGGTCAGGCCTTTTTCTGCTATGTTGCGGTAGGGGAAATGTTGCGGCAGGGTTGTGTTGAGTGTGTTCTCTTAGCCAATCTGTTCTAGTGTGTGTGGCGGTTTGAGTGGGTGGGATTAGTTGTACTTCACTATTAAAGCAAGTTATTTCCGGTGTCAATGTCAATGTAGCACTTCATCTATCGGAAACAACACTGCAGCCATGAGGATCAAGTATTCGTAAAAGAAGCAACAGAAGATTTCGCACTAGCCTTAGTAGAATTAAATGTTACTCTCTGAAAATTTCTGTTGTATTTGATTACATTTAATTTCAACATTGTATTCTTCTATTAGTATTTTTACCGCTTAGTTTCTGGTTATCTTAGAGAATTTTCATTTTTTGGTATTTAAAAATGAATCCACAAAACACTATATTAGGCATATATTGCTCTTTCTTTCTGCCTCAGTGGTCCTCAAAATGATTTTCTTATTTTCGCCAGCCCCCAACTATAAAAAGGTTGAAAACCGCTGATCCATATGGAAGCGGGCACACCAACGCTCTTCCCACTGAGCCCCAAACTGGTCCAGCCGGCAGGTGCATCGGCGGGCCTTGCATCCACATCTCCTGGGGTGTCAAGTTCTCCCGAGAACCCCTCCCCAGCCTGTTCTCCGCTGGCTTCTTTCCCACCATCAGGAGTAGAAGGGGGCTCTGTGGTTGCCCTTGAAGACCTTTAATCCAGAGCTGGCTCAGGTGGGAAAGTCTGGGCAGCCGAGGCCTCACTAGTCTCAACAACTCCCATATCAGAGTGAGAACTCTGAGCCATGGCTGGTTCAGCTCTCCACTCCCCCTCCTCCGAGTCTGAGTCGCCATTCCCACCGGAGCCCTCCATCTCTCGTGCGCACCTGGGAATCTCATCTGAGCGCCTGCGTAAAACAGACAGCATGTTTCTGCTGCAAAGCACAGTGTGATTCTGTTGCAAAGAAGGCACACTTATTCTCCCATGCAGTGTGTTTCCCAAAAGATTTAGCAGGATTCCACGGGGGAAAGAGGACTCTAAACATTGCTGGGGAGCCATAAGTTAGCCGTACCTGCTCTGCAGAGATATTTGCCATCACGATTAGTTAAGTGGCACCTTACCCAAGTATCAGTTCCTCCATGCAAACAAACAAAACTACATTTTGCATGCCCTCCAATTCATGATTGCGCATAGGAACGAGGAGTGCACAATGCACACACATGCAAATACCTGTTTCCCAGGACCGAGCACAAAAACGCCTCCCAGGATAATGCCTTCTCCGTCCAAGTTCCCCGTGAAGCCACTCCTCCAAGCACGGAAGAAGTTCCTCCAGACATTGTAGCGGATCAGGCCCATGAACAACATCTTTCTCTTTTGAGGTCCGTAGAATCGTTTCTGCAGAAGGGGACCAGACACAATGAGCCAAGACAGAAAGATCAAAAAGAGAAGAGGAAAATGAGAGCCATCCAGGGAACTATCCTGACACGGAAGAAGTAGAGGCAGGTGTAGTTACCACAGCACAAACACGGTTCAACACGCAATACACAAGACCGAGCAAATGCTGCCGTGCTGCAAGAGTGCAGAGTGGGCAACATGGTACTTGGCACACACAAAATTCACCTCCCCAGCCATCTCTGCTTTTGTGAGAAGGAGGCAAGGTAGAGTCAGTGCAGCGCAGGGCCACAAGGTTGCTGGCTGGGTTGCAGGGGAAGCCGTATGAGGCGAGATGGAGGGAGCTGGGCCTCTTCAGCCTGGACAAGAGGAGACTCCGAGGGGATCTGTTGGCGACATGCAGGTATGTGAGGGGGTGTCACACGGAGGTGGGTGGAGATCTGTTCTCCCCTGCAGAGGAAGGCAGGACGTGTTCCAAGGGAGCCAAGCTCAAGGAACCAAGGTTCAGTTTGGATCCCAGGAAGCACTTCCTGACGGGACCCCGAGGGTGTGGAATGGGCTTCCATGAGAGGTTGTTGAGGCCCCAACGGTGAGGGTGTTCAAGGACAGGCTGGACGTCCACATGGTGGGCATGTCGTGAGCGGAGTCAGCTGGAGCCGGGGGTCAGACTAGATGGACTGGGAGACTCACTCAGTTTCGATGTTTCTAGCCCTAATGGCTACAGACCTGCACTTAGGTTGAAGGATGTGCTGAAATCAAAGACAGCAGAAAAACGATTAGGTAAGATCTTTCATGCTTTGGGGTGTGACTTCAAACTGCATAACTTGTGTCAGTTGGCACCGAATTTGAATTCCCTGGTTGCAGAATATTAATTCCCTTTCAGCACACACTGTTCCAAGCCCAGGCAGTTTTTTACTGACACAAAACACACCTTCTTCTCTGAACATGTCTCTTGATGCTTGTGTGCCCATCTCTTTGTCCCTGACTGTGTTTATGCACGCACGTTCCATCTCTGTGAATCTGCACTCTGAATCTGCCCTGCTCACTGAGCGGCTTCATCACCGCAACCAAAAACACCGAAAACCACAAAACTATACCACAAACCTGCTGCTTGGAACCATTCGCTTTTTTGATGTTATTAGATAGCTGGATGTTTTTGCTAGGCATCTTGTATGAGAGACCAGGCACTTTAGAAATCTGGTATCTGTATTGTGACGTTCAAATTGGGGTCAAGGATAGCAGTGCTGGAGTAGCAGAGACAAGCTGAGAAGGAAGTGTTTCAAAGCAGAGCAACAGTGTGTGTCCACCCTCTTGGCCAAAACTTTACAGCGATGGGGCGTGATCTGAGAGCGAGGAAATTAAATGGGCCTAAATCTGTGCTGGACAGTTGCTGGACAGGTTCCTGCAGAATGTTTGTGGAGGAAACCGGGATGTATCTTGTAGCAGGGGGATTCCGTGTGGAAACCGCGTAATCTGCACAGTCATGCGTGGATGCTGGAATGCAGGGGAAGGCAAAGAGGCTGGACTTGCCACAAAAAGTAGATTTGTTTACCATCCTGCCCAATTCAGAACCCCCAAATGTGGCTCCTGGTCAGAGTAAAAGAAGCTTCCCCCCCCCCCCCCCCCGAGAAATGCAAATTGCATTCAAGAGGTACTCCCTGCTTTCGTAAACATAGCAATATGCTCTTATTTATCCCTCCTTGCTATTTTCCATGTGCGCTTGTATTTTTAGCTTTCCCCTTTTAGAGGACTGGATGACTAATTGGGACATGCAAACCTCTTGCTCTAAAGGATTAAAATTTTGATGGGAGTAAATAACCGCCTTAATCTTTCTGTTGATCTATGCATGCTTATAGGGAAATCATGCAAAAACACGCCCCCGTTTCAAAGCTGATCTGTTTTTGGCATGCATCTGTGAGTGGTGTGGAAATAGCAAAGTTAAAGCCAATTAACCTATTATGTTTCAGCTCGGCTAAACTGATTTCCGTGCCTCCAGCTTCCCTCAAGACTCTCCCATGGCAGTGGAAAGGGCTTGCCAGGGCTGAGAATGTTCCTTTGCACATCTGTCAGCAGAAGTGGGGCATTTAGATATCATGCAATGGGACTTCACAGGTGGGGTCACAGATCTGGTTTCCGACCCCACACATTCCCCATGGAGAAGATAGTAAGAGAGCCATGCTATGCGGCAAGAAAAAGAGGGTTATACACAGCCATTAAAAAACAAGACTCTTTTAATGCACATTGGCCAGGGTACCAATTTGTCTTACAAAATCTTTCTCTTCTGAATGGACAGGGATCGCACATTCATCAGCAGTAGGTGAGCTGAAGTACTTTTGCTCATAAAGCCATCTTTGATCTCTCCCAGGGATGGGTGTGATTCTGGCTCCAGGAGAGAGGCACTAGCAATGTGGGTGAATGAGCCTTTTGGCTGTGTTTGACACCAGCAGCACAAACCAACACATGCCAGGGCACCCGTGAGCTTCATATGCAAAAATGCCTTTCGACAGAGTGGTTCAAAATCTCACAGGCAGACAGAAAATTGGGGGACAGAGAGAAGGAAGAACAGCCAGGACACCAGCTGGCAATTACCTCACCTTTTCATCCAGAAAGATTTCCCCTTTGAAATAGGGCTGGAAATCCTCCACTTCAGTCCCGATGTTCTCTTTCACAACAGCATATAAGGGGACGCCCAGCTGGTCAAGCTGCGGCTTGAGAGAGGACAGCTCAGCGGCCTCCTAAAGGGAGAGAATGGCCGGGTTTACAGGGTTCCACCGACAGGCACCCCTGCTTAGCTGTGGCATTTACATTGCTGTGCCAAGACATGCCCCGGAATTAAACACAATGCCTGAACTTTGCTGCTAAGAGGAGCCCTGGCCAGATATAATGGAATGAATTCGTAGAACTGGCGTTCCAGTCCATTACCGCTTGGGGGTGTACCTGAGGACAGAAACTCCCAGAATTCCTCAACACTGGCCATGCGGGCAGGGCCTTCTGGGAGTTGAAGCCCAAAACATCTGGAGACCTTCTGATCTAACAAGACTTTCTCAGGTTTTTTTATTGCGGTTGGTCATCTTCAGCTTCTCACTTTTAATTTTGTCATCTGCTGTTATTTCAATGTCTCACTATATCAAAACCGTAAAACATTTAAACCATTTTATTGTTGTATTTGTATATTGTAAACCCCTTTGATTACTACTGCAGTATTCATCTGGATAGAGATTTCAGCCTACTTATTACTACATGGCATTTATATTCCACCTTTTTTCTTGTTGCAAGGAAACCAGAGCAGTTGACAAAACTCAATTTTTACCCTCACAACAACCCTGTGAGGTAGGCTGGCCTGAGTGTCTGTGACTGTTCCAAAGTCACCCAGCTGGCTGCATGGCCGAGCGAAAACTAGAACCTGGATCTCGCCAGTCCCCAGCCCAACACTCTAACCACCACACCAGCAATCTAAGACTAAGTAAGAGAGTCTCAACCTAGATGAAGAACAAGACTTCACTTCTGCATTACCATTAGGTGTTGTTTGGCTGTACACTGCTCATTAATACACTGGCCTTCCTCAACTAGAATTCTCCAAATAGGCTGGAAGGCAAGTCTCGTGGCAGATGGCAACATTGGCTGGAGAGAACAGGACACTGAGGAAAGGCTCTTCAGAGCAAAGGAATCTTAGTCCTTAATGAATAACAAGCCCAGTGGCCAAAGCATCTCTCCACTGGGTCATGCCACTATCCTGGGACATCTCCTCAGCTCATGACCCATCTTCTGGAGCCCAGGGAAGAGAGGACGAGGAAGTCAGATGTAGGAGTGCATGAGCATTGAAGAAAAAGTGCCAAAAGGCACAGGCTCTGGCATGGAAGATTCAGAAGAAAAAGCGGAGGGGAACAAACACGAACCAAAACTTATCAAGAAGGAAACATGAAGCTCTTCAGCATAGTGCAAAAGAACTGGCAACGTACTTGGGGTCTATAAATGTGGTCCCATGGAAGCGTACATTTCACATAAAGAGAAGAGACCTACTGGGTAGGACGAATGGCTTATCTAGTTCAGCAACCCATTTCCCACTGGCCACCTGGATGGTCCTTGGGAAATGCACAAGCAGGACATGGGGCCACCCCCACAGCTGTTCCCCAGCAACTGGCATCCAGGGGTGTGACTATGTCTAATCCCCCTTTAAAGGCATCCAATCTGTTTTAATTCTGGTGACCAGCTGGAATGACATCTACCACAGGAAGGAAGCATTTTAAAAGATGCAAGATGGAGAATCTCTGAAAACAGCACGAGGCTGACCGTGTGACATAATATGGCAAGTGTGAGCAACAGGTCATCTTCCAGATGCTTTGACCTTCAGTTCCCATCATCCTTCACCAGTGCGTATGCCAGCTAAGACTGAGCAAGGAGTGCTGACCTTGATCAAGTTCTCACTGAGGTGGAGCACTGTGTCTGGACTTTGCTACATCAGAAGCAGGTTGAGGCTGACATAAACAAACATCCCACAAAGCACAACCGAAAGAGGAAAACCTTCCACAGAGACAGGCATTAGGGGAAAGGATTCTAGAGTAATCTTTTCCCTGACTCCTAGCTTTCTACAGGAAGGGGGCTTTGTAGAGAGGGGCACCTAGGCAGCCAGATGCGGGTTTAACACTTCAGTGGAAACTAGACCCTCATCTCTGTCCCGAACCCACAAGCTTCCGGAAAGATCAGCTTTCTCACCCCGTCTGTTCTCCAGAACTTCCCACACAGAAGTACCCACAATACCTCTCTGCACAAAAATCATCCGGGGCGCCGAACTGCCATGATGACCGCACCATTCTTCTTCCACAGCTCTCCTGCTTTGAGTGTTCTTTGCTCTCCTAAAGAAACAAACAGTAGGGTACTCTGAATTCACTCAGCGTAGAGGCAGGCTTTGCAGATGATCTGAACTCCAAGGCCCATGAGCAACCTCATTAACCATCACCCACAAGTCATATCTCGGTAACAGAGGATGGTTGAGCCTTTCACTGGATAACAAGTCCCCTTTCTCCACACCTGGAAAGCTCGGCTGGCCACCCCATCCCAGTGCTCAGAACATGCTGTGCCTCTTCCTAGAATGCTCTGCTGGGGAAGGAGCCCAAGTCTTACCGTGTCCCAGCGTCTTCAGGTCAGCCTCCGCAAGAAAATCCAGCGAGGCCTTTTCCGCTTTAGGGAGAAAGAGATCTGTGTTGGCCAGGATGATCCCTGTCACAGCAGCCCCGATGGCTCCCAGGCCAGCGGTCCACATGGCCATGGAGAACGACCCCGGGTCCAGCTGCAAACACATGTCTGGGAAGAAAGGAAGCGACATGTCACTCCAGCCAGAGCATGGCTAGGCCTCCAAACGAAAGCACTGCAAAACACCACCGGGTCCAAAAGCAGAGTCTCGTATCTTGAAGACTGACACATGCCTCATGGCTGCCATAGGTTAACATGGGTACCATCGGGGAATGCTTACAATTTTGTCCTGAGTCCTGGTGCAATGGGCTTCCTAGAAGCATGGGCTTGATGCTCAAAAGTGTTCTCTACCTGCACCAGCATGGATGTTTCAAGCAAGTATTGTCAAGCTGGTGCTGAGCTGGGTCCATCAAGAGGCGCTTTGGAAGTGAGGGGGGCATGTGGAGGAGGTGGTGGTGTAGCTAGGGCTGGACCACAGGGCCCCAAACCAAGACTCCACAGCCCAATAGCCTGTCCACCCAGACGAAGGGCTCAGCATCAGTTCCTGCGTGAGCATGTGCAAAGTCACCTAGTGAGCTTCATGGCCATGTGGAGACTATCACTCAGATTTCTCAGGTCGAAGACCAACACTCTACTCACTACCCCACACTGCTGCAGTTGCAAGGTAATCTTTATCACTGCAATTCTACCTATTAAAGTGAGTTTTTTAAGTACTGGTAAATAATTAAGTTGCATTCCCCTGTTCATATTTTTTTGGCATGCGTGCTCCAAATTATTCAAGTGCCTTAGAGGCTCTTAGGCCAACCACAGCAGTAAGTTGCTTTCATATCCTTGTTTTGTTTATGCAGAGCATCTCATTGGCATCAGCTCTTTAATTCCGCTTGATTGCTTTATCACAAAATTGCATATTTCGCTTCTGGGAAGCGCTCGTTTGGCCGAGAAGGGAACGCTGAAGCTGCATAATTCTAAGTCCACCCAGGCCAGCACTGATGGAAAGTTACTTTCCCAAGTGTCGCTTCGGGTCCTTTCCTAGCGATCGAGCCAGGCAGCTCGGACCTATAGAGCTCATCTCTGCCCCAACAGCGTTCTCAGCGAAAAGGCTGGTGACATGCTTATGGCTGCACTCTAAACAAGCAGCAGCTTCTGGGAAATCTTCCAAGTGAGTCCTATGCAGAGCATAATTGCAATCTAATGTGGCCATTACCCAGACATGGATAACTGAGGCCAGACAAACTCTCCCTTTCCAGAGAGTCATCGCTGGTGCTGCACCAGCTGAACCCGGTGGAGGACCCAAGTGAAACTCAGAGGCAATCTGAGCTTCCAGGGATAAGCCTGGCTCTCTGAACAGGTCCGGAGCATAAAAGTGATCCTCGAAAGGGCCTGCATTGTCCTCAAAAGCAAGCTGAGCAGCTCTTCCCTGGGCAAAGCAAGCACCTATTTGGCTTGTGCATGTGTGAACCTGCCTGTCCTCCAGCAGTGCTGAGATCAGTCTTAATCTTGGAGGAACCCCTGTGCAAAGCAACCTGCGTTAGAGAGCGATAACATCAAACTGAGCTCCTTCTAATCTGTGACACAGTTTGAAAGAGAGAGAACCAAATCGGGTGCCCCTCGAGCTTGGCCTCGGAGGCTACCAAGTTCTTGTTTGAAAAAGATTCCAAACCAAGGCATCGCAAATCGCAGGGGATTCTCTCCAGGCTTGGTCCCACTGAAGTCCTACTATATGAGGGCTGAAGACTCCCTCATTCATCACAGTGAATTCATTTGCAACCTACAGCGCGGAAGGGTGAAGGCGGCAAGGGCTGGGTTGCTGGAATAGGTTTTTTTAAAAGGATGTTGGGAGTTCTGAGATAGGACATAAATAAAGCCATTCCAAAGAACGTGTAGCGGGACGAAAACCGCAGGCATGTCATGTGCTAGACCCAGGAGGGGATTCCGAGCTGGAAAGTCTCCACGTGCATAGTGCAACTCCTGACACATCTCCTCGTGACATTTTGGCGCAGATGTGCTCACACCTGCTTCAGCGGTAGCTACTGCTAACTCTTCCCCTGTCCCAAGGGCAAGCAAGGGAAGATGAAGGGAGAGCTGCAGTCACATCTCCCAACCCTTTAGAACCCCAAGACAAATACAGACCTAGATAACCCAGGTCGGTTACCATCTGTGCCATTTCCCCTACAACTGCTCTTAGTCCCATGAGCAATCACACACAGGAACCCTCGCAGTTGCAGGTATAAAGGACTACGAATGGTTAACATCTCCTTTGCTGAATTGCCATGTCAGTATCAAGTAGCTATTGTTTCTTGCTCCTTAAAGTTTTGCTTATGCAAAAACTGCAACACTAACGTTTTGCTTATACAAAAACGGCAAGGCTAAAGTTTTGCTTATGCAAAAACTGTAACATGTAAGGAACAAAAAAATTAAACAAGTAAGATGAGCAATTCAATCCACCATACGAAAGATAGCCTACTACTGCTGCTGCTGCTGCTGCTGCATTGGATTTATATACCTCCTTTTTCCCTGTGAGGAACCCACTGCAGTTATACTCTTACAATATTACACATGCATTCACATGCTAGCAAGGTGTCTCTCTTTTATACTACGCCAAGAGTGGCAAAAGCCAACCTTCCCCAACCTGGTGTCATACAGATGTTTAGACTTCAGTTCCCAGCAGCGCCAACTGGCATGGCCAATGGAAAGGAATGCTGGGCCTTGTAGTCCAAAACATCGGGCAAATACTAGGAAAGCTGGTATAAACCATAGAATGGGATGAACACACGTCTGTAATTTAGGCATAAGCTGCTGTTCACCTTAGATACTCCCAATTCACTTGAGAGAGGACAATATCCTGTTCATGAAACACTCCAAACACACACAGTCATGCACACAATATTAATTGCCAGGGGTTAACCCCCCGGAGCAATCTGCTCCGTTATTCTAGACTCCCTGCAGCATGTAAGAGCACAGAGTATATTGCTGCACGGAAGGTCTGCTCTTGCTTTGCTTTACTTCTTTGGGATCGGTAACGATTCCAAAAACGTGTGAAGAGAATTCACTTACCGGCACTCCACACGACCCGTACGCCTGCAGATACACACGCTTTTTAACATCCAAGGTCCATCTGGAGGAGAGGAAAGCCAAGACTTTGTGGCTCAGCAGACCGGCTGCTGGTGTGTGATAAGGCGAATGCAAGCACGATGCCTTCTGACCTGCCCTCCTCCAAGACGACAACGTGGGCAGGCCCAGGCCCATTACCAGCGAGAAAGCCCTTGGCACCGGGCCCAGCACTTCACTCCAAGCTCTGTTAGCCAACACAGGCTGTGTTGAAACAGTGTCGGCAATTTATGAGCATTGTGCAAGAAGCCTCGTGGTGGAAGCGATCTTGATTGTGTGGGCGAAGTTCCCAAAGTCACTCGCAGACCCCCGAGAACGGATGCTCTGCTTAGAGCAGCCTTGCCAATGAGCACAAAGGTCTTACGTGGCCATGGGATGTTATCGTGAGCCCGCCCGCCCACATGCGCTTCCTTACTTGGATGCGGCTTGGCAGAAAAAACACTCAAGCCTCTTTTGTGAAGGTTTCTCAGTGGCTCCACTGCCCTGGAAGTGAGTTTTACTCGCCAAAGGTGACCACGCCAGCAGCTATGTAGGAAGTGTCATTTCATATGAGCGAGCCAGGAGCAGTTATGGACATGTCTACGCTGGGGGCAATACGGTGAGAGTTCTCCTCTCAGCCTTCCATGGCATTTACCTCCACAGTTGCTTTCAGACTGTACCATCGTACAGGACAGAGGAAGAGCTGCGGGAGCACAGCTTATCCTGGACTAGAGCATGCTAGGAGTTTTAGCACTTTTTTCTGCCTAAACATGCAGGGGGTTGCACCCTGGGTACACCACAAAGACCAGAGAAAGTATTTTTGTGGATTAGCAGAGACAGAAAATCTGGGTCATCCAGTGGTGCTGCTAGTCTAGAGAAAAATTAACTCAAAGAAGGGAAGGCATTGGTGACTGATTAAGCCACTGGGTGAGGCAGTGGCGCACAAGAGAGTCATAGTATTAGTTTTAGTATTAGTATTATTAGACTCGGAAAGGCAAGATTGTAGCCCACAGAGTGGCTCGGTGTGGCCACATGGCCAAAAAAAAAAAAAAAAGCAGCTAAGCGAAGTGAAGCGAAAAGTGAAGCGAAGCAAAAAGGCGAAGCGAAGCGCCCTCATCTAATAATTGCACATGTGCTAAAATCCAATCGAATGCAGTGCATCTACCCCGAGATGCTGGGCAGCACTTTGACAGCAAAACCCCGTGCATGTTTACTCCTCAGCAAATCCCTCTGGGGTTGATCTAGAGCAGAGGTCTCAATCTCACGGCCCGCGGGCCAATTGCCGGGACGGTTGGGGCACAGGGGAGGGGCCCTGCAGCCTTCAAAGCGCCGGCGGCGCCCGGGCCGGCCTCTGGATGAGCGGCCCACCCCCACCACGGTGGTGGAATACTTGATGTGGCCCAGCCTCACCCAGACTCTACTTTCAGCGGCCCCTGGGTAAGTTGAGTTTGAGTCCCCTGGTCTGGAAGAATGGGAATAGGACCATGGCTTTATGGTGCAATCCTATGCATGTTTAGACAGGAAAACGTCCCGTAGCTCCCAGCAACAGTGGCTGGGGAATACAGGGAATTACAGGCTGCCGCACTTTGGGCACATCATGAGAAGGCCAAACTTCCTGGAGGAGATGATCACGCTAGAGAAAGTCAGTGGCAGAAGAGGGCAATGACCAGAAATGAGATGGGTTGACTCCGCAAGCAATGCTCCAGCCCTGAGTTTACAAGAGCTGAGCAGGGGGTGAAGGGCTGGACATTCCAGAGGGCTTCTCTCCACAGGGTCACCAAAAGTTGGAGATAACTTGATGGCACATATCAACATAGGGCTTCTAATGTCTATACAATATTTGCATTGGATTTTATTTATTTATTACACTTATATCACACCTTTTTTCTACTTGCCAAGAGCCCAAGGTGACTTACCTAGCCTTCGTCCTCTTCTTCTTTTTATCCTCACAATATCCCTGTGAAGTTAGTCTAAGAGTCACTAACTAGCCCAGAATACCCAAGAAACTCCATATCCAAGTGGGGATTAGAACCCAGATCTTCCTAAGCCCCAGTCCTACACACTGACCACTACACCACACTGCCACCATAACAGCTTAAGCTGACTAATGATGGTATTTTGCCAACCTGTTACAGATTTAGTGTTTTATCAGTTGTTGCTATGCCGGGAGCTATAAGGATTTTTTTTCTGTCTAAACACGCAGAACATTGTGCCCTAGGAATCTCGTGAAGACCACAGATTGTATCTTATGGTTCAACAGAGACTGAAGATTTAGATCTTTTTGTTTTTGTTTTACTTGCATTTTATTGCATTGTAAACCAACCTCCAAGGATTTCTGCCCTGAAAGAAAAACTAGAAAGCCCTTGTTTTATATAATATAGACACAGACAGTAAAGTTACACAATCAAATTAAGGCTACCATTTCCACATTTCCTTTGGAGTCAATCTCATTGAACTCAAAGGGGCTTATTTCCAAGTGGATATGCATAGGATGGCACAAAGCATTTAAAGGCATGTGTTAATAAAGGGTTTCACCCGGTACCAAAAAGCCAGCACTAGATGTGCCTTTTATGGAGAGTAACAGTACAGGCCGTGAGGCCTATCAAGGTGTCCTTTTCTCTGAGAGCCATCTCCTCCTACACAGAGGAAAAGCCACAAGAAGCAATCTCCCATCACAGAAGGCAATTCTTCAGTTTACCTGTGCAATTCTGTGATGCTATGAGCCTTCAGTAACTTTGTACGGAAAAGAAAGGAGAGCTTCTAAATCGGTTTCAAATACAGCACTGCAGAAAAAGGGATGTGGCTTTCCAAACCAACCTTCACTCCAGTGGCTGTATTTCCATTGAGTGGTACAACCTAGCTAGCAAGAGCTATACCACGTGATACTCTGGAATATGTAGTGGGGATCTCTCTAACTGAGAGGCAAGTGATCTCATGGGTTTTTCTGAGAAGCGAAATTTAATGTCTCCTTTCCCAACAGTTCTTTATTATGCCTTTGACTCACTAACTTGAGATGCATTGCAAGACAAGGATTTATCTCTAGATTATGTTAAACGCTAAAGGTGAAAGTGCATTAAGAAAAGTGTTTTCCCAAGAATACAATCAAGCAAGGGAAACTGTATCAAGTTCCTTGCCTAAAGTCCTTTAAATTTCGGCAATGAATTTAGCATAAAAGTTCCATAAAATTTCAAGGCAGCCAATCATAGAAGAGTTGGAAGAGGCCAAGAAGACCATCGGGTCTAACCCCCTGCTGTTGCGGAACACCACGTTACATCATCCCACTCAGATGGTTGCCCAGTTTCATTCTTTTTTTTTTGCACATTTTTTATTAAGATTTTAAACTAAAAACTAAAAAAAAAAAATCAATCATCAAATACATCAGACGTACTGGGTCAGCCCCTTATAACATATCTTTTAAACATTCTATAATCATATTCAAATCGATTTATAAAAATGTAAAGACATCTTTAAATCTAAGCCAAGTCCCGTTTCTCCAGCCACTCGTAAAAAAGGTCTGTTGCCCAGTTTCTTTCTGAAAGTCTCTAGTGTGGGAGAGTCAGGCTACAATCATAGTGTTACACAAATTATTATTATTTACATTTCTATACCACTCATAGTTGTTTACGTTCTGATCCCAAAGAAAGGCCATGCCAAAGAATGTTCAAACTACCGCACCATTGCACTCATTTCACATGCTAGCAAAGTTATGCTCAAAATCCTACAAGCTAGGCTCCAGCAGTATGTGGACCGAGAACTGCCAGAAGTACAGGCAGGATTTTGAAGAGGGAGAGGAGCTAGAGATCAAATTGCCAACATATGCTGGATCATGGAGAAAGCTAGGGAGTTCCAGAAAAACATCTACTTCTGCTTCATTGACTATGCTAAAGGCTTTGATTGTGTGGATCACAACAAACTGTGGCAAGTTCTTAAAGAGATGGGAGTACCAGATCATCTTATTTGCCTCTTGAGAAACCTATATGCGGGTCAAGAAGCAACAGTGAGAACTGGACACGGAACCACTGATTGGTTCAAAATTGAGAAAGGAGTACGGCAAGGCTGTATGCTGTCGCCCTGCCTATTTAACTTATATGCAGAGCACATCATGAGAAAGGCGGGGCTAGATGAATCACCAGTTGGAATTAAGATTGAGAAATATCAACAACCTCAGATATGCAGATTTTATTTTCCTGAGCTCCAAGATCACTGCAGATGGGGACTGCAGCCAAGAAATTAAAAGACGCTTACCCCTGGGGAGGAAAGCTATGGCAAATCTAGACAGCATACTAAAAAGCAGAGACATCACCCTGCCAACAAAAGTGCATATAGTCAAGGCTATGGTTTTCCCAGTTGCAAGTTATGGCTGTGAAAGCTGGACCATAAGGAAGGCTGAGCACCAAAGAATTGAGGCCTTGGAATTGTGGTGCTGGAGGAGACTCCTGTGAGTCCCTTGGACTGCAAGGCGATCAAACCGGTCAGTCCTAGAGGAGATCAACCCTGACTGCTCTTTAGAAGGCCAGATCCTGAAGATGAAACTCAAATACTTTGGCCACCTAATTAGAAGGAAGGACTCCCTGGAGAAGACCCTGATGCTGGGAACAATAGGTGGCAAAAGAAGAAGGGGACGGCAGAGGATGAGGTGGCTGGATGGAGTCACTGAAGCAGTTGGTGTGAGCTTAAGTGGACTCCGGGGGATGGTGGTGCACAGGAAGCCCTGGAGGAATGTTGTCCATGGGGTCACGATGAGTCAGACATGACTTCGTGACTAACAAGAACAACCAACCATAGCTGAAGCTCTCTGGGTGGTTCACATCATTTAAGTCACCCATCCAGATTTCAACCAGGGCTAACCCTGCTTAGCTTCCAAGATTAGGCAAGATCAGGCCTTCGGGCTATATGGAAGCTATATATGGAAACCTCTGATCACTATCCCAAAGAAGGCCATTTAGTACATTTTCATGCAACCTTTTCTCCAAGGATCTCAAGGCAGAGGACATAAGAGAGTCAAACTAGTCCAAGGCCTCCCAGTGAGCTTCATGGGTAAGGGGAATCTGAACATGGGCCCTCCGAGGTCCAATCCAGCAGTGTCATCATGGAGGTGACAAACGGGACTGTACAGGTTCAGACTGAAGGTGCGGGCTCACGAGATGAGATGCTCCTACATACAAAGCACTGTATGCTAGCCCAGGGGTGGGCGAGAAGCAGCTTTCCAGGTGATTGGGACTTCAGCTCCCAGCATTCCTTTGGCATTGCTGGTAGGGGCTTCTGGAAGCTGAAGTCCAAAACACCTGCAGATCTACCTTCTAGATTTAGGCCAGGATGGGGAACATGCGCTTCTGCAGGTGCTGTTGGGACAGCAACTTCCATCCACCCACATGAACCCATACCCACACCCACCCATATCATGAGATCCAAAGGGAACTGGAGCCATACACAATCTGGAGGGCCACACATGTCCCCCCATCCCCCCCAGTCTGATACAGGCCATTGACTGGAACTTGCAATAATCTGATGAAAATCTTGGATTCACTATTAGTTGGGCAGCCCAAGCCTTTGATGAGTTCAGTGTTTCCTAAGCTGGCCAGAAGCGGCTATGGCTTCCCTGTCCTTAAAAGCCACCTAGAAGCAAATTGGTCAGGGTAGCTTCTTTCACCCACGTGTGATGCAAAATGTACCCACACAAAATTCTTCCTTCCATCATTTCTGCCTGCCTTACTGTAACGCCCGTCGGGATAGGCATGCACACAGATGCAGAATTCAATCGGGACCTGCATGTTCGTATATGGTCACTACAGCATTTGCACAGAGAAATAATGTGAAAAAACAGATAGGCAAACAGCATCCTTCCAACATATGTGGCTTTTAAGAAGTCTGTCTTTCTCCTACCTTTGCAAGCCTTTCCTTCTTCAAACTCCCAATTTAAAAAAAAAAATTCAGGTCAGCGTGAAGCTGGTCTAGTCAGCAATGGAACAGAACATCCAGAACAGGTTGCAAACGAGACATAGTGAAGTAACCATGTGGTTTCTTTATCACATCCTTTATTGCACAGTGTCAATTAATTCAGAAGAAACTTGATGAATTAAGTTCCTTCTGAATTAATGTTCCTTCTGCACTGTTGCTCCAGTTCCCTCTCCATAAGCAGATCTTCTAGCATACAAGTGCTGGTGAGCCTGTGTTTGCAAGAACTGCATTTCAGGCACCTTTATGCAGAAGTTGGCCTCTCCGCACAGCTCCCACTCAGCACAGGAAGCAGCTGGAGGCAAGTTGCTCCAGTACACAAGCAGGGAGTGAAGAGCAGCTTAAAGTCTATGCAAGCTGGTGGTTCTCGGCACAGTTAGTGCCCCAAAGAAGGACAGGCTGGCAGTGTTGTGGACCGAGCCCCCAAAGGCATCCTTTTTAGACTACATGCACCTCCTCATGGAAAACACCATCATGTGGGCTACCTTGATTCCGGGGTAAATGACAGCATAGAGATACAGTCAATTACAAATTGCTATGAAAATACCTGCATTTTGTTTATAATTCAAGTTCTTGAGAGCTGATTCTCTGCTTTTGGATTCTGTGACATTTCAAGCAAGCATTAATTTGCCTGCTTGTATCCTATTCCTCTAGAAATAGAAATTTCAGGACCACATCAAGCAAGCCATTTAAAAAGGCATATAATTGAACCCTCTCCAAGGGTCTCTAAAAGAACATGGCATTAATGCAGCACAATAAATGGATTTTATAGACAGAGCCCTCCAAGGACTACAATCCAATAACTTCTCCTTGTTGGGTATACAGTCAATGGCAAATCCAACTTTGCTTCTGCAAAATATGTGAAACAGTCTTCCCTAATTTGGGCCCTCCAGCAATGATGGGACTACAATGGCCACCATCCCCAGCAATCAAAGCCATTAGCCACAGGGGCTGGAGATGATGGGCTCTGCAGTCCAAGACAGGTGAGGCAAGGTTCCTGCACTGGATGCCGGTTGGGTTTGTCTCAGGGAAACTTAGGTGTAAATCTCAGCTCAGCCACGATGAAGTCACACATGCTTGGCCTAGCCCACCTCACAGGGCTGGCGTAAACATGAAATGAAAACCATTAACAGCAGTCATCCGATGTTCGATACTTAGTGAAAACCAAAGCCAGCTGCAAAGATAACCTTCTTTACTTCTATCTCCTTTCATCTGCCTCTTAAGCCCCAAGGAGAACAATTAATAAGCTTTATTAGCTGAGGATAACTCATGTCTCTTGGATGACTCAGCCCTGATTGCTCCAAAGATTGTTCCAAATTTGACTGCGGTTGCGATTCAGTTCCAACCTGCTTTCCCCACCCTCTCTGGAGCAGATGCGCCTACATCAGTGCCCCAAGCACACAAAAAGGCATCTTTGTGCTCAGTCAGCGTTTGTCAGAAAAACAACAGCGCACTTTCAAAGCCCATGGGGGACCCATACTTAAACACTGTGCTGGCATTAGTAAAGGAGCCCTTGCTGGCTTGCAAATAACCCAGAAGCCTCGGGGAAGGGCAGAGTACATGCTTGGCATGCAGAGGGCCTTGGGTGCCATCCGAGACATCTACGGGGACAAGATGTCATACAACTAGCAGGGCTTGCATCCACAAGGCCTCTGTCTGGGGTCTTGAAGAGCTGCTCCCAGGCCGAAGAAAGCAGCTTTCTTCTTCAAGCTGGCACCCTCCAGCTGTGCTGGACATCATGCTGGCTGGGGAGGACGGGGCTTGTAGTCCAACAGGTCCAGGGGGCCTACTAAGCTGGGGGAAGGCTGAAATATGTAATACTGGCCTAGGTGGACCTAGAGGTTTAATCAGTGTAAAACTATGTTTGCAATCCTATGCATGTTTGGATAAAAAAAGCCCGATACTTCACAGCCATGCAGTGCTGGTGAGGAGATGCAAGCCCTTCTTGTGCTGCATTTCACTGATTTGTATATCGCTGCCCACCATGGTGGCCCAAATTATTTTCAGACTCCCTGATGGCTTGAGCGGGGGAACCAAACGAGATCTCATCCAGCGAACTTGTCCAGCTGAGGTACCTGAGTGGGATTCCTGCAGCATCTGTGCATGCGCACTTCCTTGCCCAGGTCATCCTCCTCGAGAAGTCTGCCCTATTGGACCCCAACTCGCATTCTGGGCCATGCCAGGTTTAAGTCCAAACTAGGACTTCAACCCAAGCCTTGTTCTCTACCACATCAGCTCTTACCAAGATTCAAGGTGGATGCCAAGAAGTACTTCCAGATGGCCAGGACCCCTCAGGTATGGAATGGGCTTCCACAGGAGGTGGAAGCCCACCCACCCCATCAGTGAGGGTGTTGCTGGACATGCACATGGTAGACAGGTCATGAGCAGAGCCGGCTGGAGCTGGGGGTCAGATTAGATGGCCCGGGAGGCCCCTTCTGACTCGCTCTGCTTCTATGTTTTAACACGATAACCCTGGAGTCTAACTATGGGGTTGCTACATTTTCCACTGGCCCTGCTCCTGTGCCTTTAACAACAGCCAGTGTCCTGCAGCAGAGTTTTGCTCCACAGGCTTAGTGGAGAAGCTTGTAGGCCACCCAGTCAAACTTGCACTGCATACAGGAAATCCAGAGCAATGGCACCCCTGCAACGGCCGCTGATCAATGAGGCCAAAGTGGGTGTGGAACTTGCCCCTTTGACAGTTGTGCAGCTCCGGGAAAACTTTGCGCCAAACTCTGGCACTTTAAATGGGAACATCTGTTGGTTCCCAGGTGACAGTCCAGAGGTGAAAAGGCTCTAGAGGCAATTGGTAACATGATTTGCCCATAGGCTTCATGGAAGCTTATGTGGCTTAGGCAGCTTGTAGCCCTCCAGACATTTCTGCCTGCAGCTCCCATCATCCCCATCCCTCACCATTGCCTACACTGCCGAGGGCTGATGAGAGCTGCAGGTAAAAACATCTGGAAGGCCCACACTTTGCTCCTTTTCAAGCCAGACTTCCAGAAGTACAAGTTCCTCACCAGTGACTTTTTCACACTCCAAGAAGGCCCTACATAATCAGTTTTTCAAACACAAAAAAATTTGGAACATCCCATTTGTGTGCATTGCACAACCAAAACGCAGCATATCTGATTATGAGGAAATGTACCACTTTTAACACAAATACCAAGTTTCAGTTCCCAGCTGTGCTTGCACTTCTTTTTTCACAGAGCAGCAGGGAAATCACAAGCACCATTCTTGTTTTACAAGGTACAAAGTCTTAGACTAGCTCTAAAGAGAGCAAAGTGGATTATTTTCTAGCATGCCATCCTTGACACAAGGGGATTATGCTGTTTCTCAACTGTATTCAGGTCACAAACAGTTGCATAATTCTAGATTCTGCCCTCTCTGTGTTCTAAGCAGATTCCCATGACAAGTCAAGTCCTATGCATGTATATTTTAAGTTCTGTATTTAACACCAGGGAAAGAAGACATCAGCAAAACCTTTTCATTACTCCCATTGTACTCCTACTTACAGAAGTAGATCTCAACCAGCCAAAAGCAAAACAAAACAGTAATACAAATATTACAATTCCACCCACTCAGAAACCCCATCCTGGAACAGAATGGAGAGTTTTATTGGTACCAAGTTTTCCAGCACAAAAAAACATCCAGCCTGCTTGCTTCAGTTCACAGTAAGAAAGCACCTCAAATGTCACACAATTATTTCACAGCAGCCACAATTTCTTGCACCACCACATCAGGGCACACACAACCGAGACAAGGTGCAAGACTGTGTCCTGCGGCCTCAGTGCATGTGAGCCCCCGAACTTGGAGGTTCACTCGCATCCTGTGCTCCAAACAAGGCACCGCGACAGCATTTCTACCGCTGCATCTTTTGTCAGGTATTGTATCTAGACAGCAGCTTTTGGCTATCTGGATAAAGCACCAGAGCAAATTGGGGCAATGGGAATTGGCAGAAATCAGCATAAATTCATGGGCCCAGGTGCCTCCTCTTTCTGACCCCCTTTCTTCCCCCTCTCCAAGGCTCGGCTGTGACCTGGGGAGGGGAGTGCTCAACACACGCATTTCGGCTGCAGGTGGGCCAGGGCAGGGCTCAAGATGAAGTGTGGGGTTGTAGGAATGCACCCTAGGTGGGTCAGCGTATTAGGCAGGCATACCAAAGGGACAAATCTCTTTGCTTCAAAAGAGGGCCCCAACTGACTTTGTTGCCGTTGTGTGCCATCAAGTCCTCTCAGACTTATGGCAACCCTATGAACGAAAGCCCCCCAAAATGTCCTATCCAGGACAGCCCTTCTTAGCTGTTCTAAATTCAAGGCTGCGGTTTCCTTTACGGAGAACATCCATCTCTTATCTGGTCTTCCTTTCCTTCTACCTGCAACTCTTCCCAGCATGATGGCCGTCTCCAGAGAGTCTTGCTTTCTCATGATGTGCCACAAGCAGGACAGCATCAGGGAAAGTTCTGCCTTGATTTGATCAAGGACCGACTTGTTTGTCTTTCTGCCAGTCCCAAGTATTCACACAGCGCTCCTCCAAGTGACCATGTCTGGAACACATCAATTTTCTTCCTGTCAGCTTTCTTCACGGTCCAGCTTTCACACCCATACATAGCGATTGCAAATACAATAGCACAGATGATCTTGGTCCTGGTCTCACACGATTACTGATGCATAAAGAGGGAAAATAATCTCGACTTTTAAATGGGGCTGACAACTTTTCAACCTGTCACTGCAGCTGTGTCTTTAACAGGTTTTACCAGTTGCCAGGCTGTGAGAAAATGGCACCGACCAATTTCTGTACATAAAGCTGTCGTTCATGCCACAAGAGCAGGCCAGGTATTTTCTGGTCAGTTGACAACATTGCTCGTAAATTATGCACTTGTTTGCAATTTGTGGCACATACATACAATTGAGTCTTGGGATTCTGCTGAATGTTGCAAAGGTCGAAATGGTGCCCAGAAGACCAGCACTCCTATTGGTAAACCAGAGAAAACGGACTATTTGTACCGAGGTTTGCCTCCTAATCATGAGCCCATGTATTTATTCTGTTTCAATGCATGTCTCTAATAAACTACTGAAAATTAGCAAATCCTTAATGCCGCACAAGCAACAATAACAAGCTAGTACTTATACATTCTAGGATAGTTGGCAGTGGAATTATCTATACAGGTTATAGTCTGATCTGATCTGACTCCACAAGCTAAGAATTTCTGGTACAGTCTGGTTCTCTCTCTGCTTCCTAAGAATTATGCTTTGCTGGTTTTCGCTTGAACTTCTTATTGAACAGTTTCCTAAAGCAAGCTTTGCACAGAACACTTTTTCAAACATTTATACCAAGACATGTCCAATCTACGTTGGAAGATCTCTTCTAAACTCCTAAAAGCAAAGGGACACACAGTTCCATTCACTTTGCAATTCTAACCAAAGCTCACCAATTTCAATACAGCTGCCAAATCAGGTCTGCCACAAGAGGAGGGTTCACCCCATTCATATCCAGAAAGTGACAGTTTAAATTGTTTGAGAGGCAAGAGCGGAGAAGAAAGGAGAGGATCGCTTCAAAATCGCCTCTTGAACGCCATATTTTTGGGGAGAGAATGGTGCGAAAGAAGGGTCACAAGCAAATTAAACAAATGTTTATAGGCCAAAGAAGCATACTTTCCTTTGGATGCTGCCTTTTAAAGATCCGAAACTCAGTCGGGAAATACTTTTATTAAGATCAGTTAAAAAGTCACAACTGAGTGTGTTTGCTTTCAAATTCTCCAGAACCTTTCACCATAAAGCAAGGGATGGGGAGGATGGGGAGGAGAGAAGGAAGGAGGGCAGGAAGGCAGGCCACTCTGCATCCATTCTCAAGATGGAGCTTACTAACTGAGACTCCGCAGGAGCTGCAGCATCAAAGTCCATCTCCACTCCTACAAAATTCAGGATAAGGAGAAAGCTGCCCCCTCTTTTGTCCTCGCCAAGGCCCTCCCAACTGCAGATTCTGGGTTATGTTTTCCAATTACGGAGCAGCACTTCACGGGATGGTGTTTTTGCTAGGGGGAGGGAGAAGCCTCGTGAAGGTGAGCGCCTCTTTGCGAACTCTGCCAGCGCACCTGCACGCAGCAAAGCAATAATCCAAAAGGCTTCCCTCCCGGGGCGCTCTGGCGCGCACGGCAGCGTGCCCAAGCGCGCCCAACCCCCGCGGGCAGGTTCCCGGGCGCCCGCGGCGATCCCCCCGCCCCATGCCCCCGTGAGCCCACCCACCTGGAAGCGGGGCTCGGCTCCCCTCGAGCTCCGGGATTACTCACGCGGCGCGCCGACGCGAAGGATGCTCTCGCCCACGCCGGCTGCGCGCCCCGCGGCGGCGTCTCCAAGGGGGCGCGTCCTTCCCGCCTGGCAAGCGCGGCCGGGCGCTACCTGCAAGCGGCACCGCCGCGGGCCGCGGTTTCTGGCAGCCTCGGCGCAGCCCGGGAGCGGAGGCTCAGGGTGACTAATCGAGCTCCCGCGCACTGATTCGCGGGAGGCGCCCGGGCTCGCCGCCACTGGGAAGGGCACTGCCCGGGCCGCGGGTGAGTGGAAAGCACGTGCGGGGAGTTGGAAAGAGGAGAGAAACGCGAGCGCGGAGGATTAGTTGGTTCCACCCAGAGCAAAATTAAAATTGGTAGGACGAGCGAGGCGAAGCTGGGGGGCAGCCCATTTTCCGTACGTATCCAAGCTGTTGTGTTTTGGCAGCTGAAGATTTTTAAGTCCCCCATTTTGTGGTCAACGTGACCATCTTTTGCAGGAGTCTCATTTTCTGTTCGTCTTGTGCTGCTGGTGGTTTTATTGGTTTTATGCGTGCATTGCACTTCTTTTCATAGTTGAGTATTTGCTTTTTGCTTCTTTTCATAGTTTTTAATTTTTCACTGTAGCCTATCCAGAGAATCTTGGTTATTGGTTGGGTTATTCTAAATACTGGCTTAGGTTCCAGGAAAAGGTTAATTGATCTTAAGTGTTGGGCAGCCATGTGCAAAAGAGAGCACTCCTGTACCTTTGAGAACTGGGGGGGGGGGAGCGCAGTGGGTATTTCTGACCACCCAGCTAGTCTCACAGTAGAAGCAAGTTTTTTGATTTAGAATTTTCTATTCTGCCTTTTATTCCTCCCGGTAAAGGGCCTCAAGCTAGTTTCCAAATTAAAATGCAAACATGCAATAAAAATATTGAGGTAAATGCAAATATAAACGCAGTGCAGTATGTTCTGAGAAGCACCCCTCAACCCAAGAAACGTCCGGCTGCTGCTGGTTGTATCAGCTGGTTTCCAAACACTGTGCAATGCAATGTTGTCTCATGTACCGTGTACTGCAGTACTTCAATCTGAATGACACAGGGACTGAATTCACACATGACAAGCAGCCCAGCGTGATTATTATGGTTCATTGCTTTTTTCCATGATGTGCCTGACAAATGATCAAGTGGTTTCTATTCTATCATAGTTTCCATCCTTCCCACTCAGTCCACACATATCCCCTTGGCACATATCCTATCAGCCACTGTCCCTTACCATGGTAAAGTGTCATGACTGCATTTGGACAACACGACAGACCAATCAGGGTTAAAAAAAAAAAAAAAAAACCACTGCTTCTGGGAAGTCAGTTTCTCTTTTACAGTGCCACTTAACACTATCTCTGTTGACAAAAAATTCCTATCGAGCTCCCTGATAATTTAGGTTGAATGAGATTTGCAGTAGTCCAACAAGGACTCTACATAGGACCTGTGTACCTAAAAGTGAAGGCAAGTATATGTGACAGAAGACAAGGTTGCCCAGGTTCTCAGGAATGTTTCAGTCACTGTAAAGAAGCACATATGGTTTTTCCTCAACATGTTTACTTCAGTCTCTGAAAATAAACAAGCCATGGATCTTGTCAGGATAAACAAACCACCCTGTGGGAAGCAATCTTTGTCTGGACAACATAACAGCACACTGTGCTTAGTTACACACAATGGGTTGTCATGTACAAACCTAGTCCATAACAGTCTAGAAAGAGCATAAGCAGACAATGTTTAGCTTTCCTTCTAAGTTATATTTGCAAGCAGAGAGATTCTGCAAAGGTCAGAAGAATTGGTGTCTATGTAAAACTTCCCCAGAAGCCACAGTGCTTCCTACTAAGAAAATAGACACAATCTTACTCAAGACAAGTTCAGTAAAAGATGCAGAATGAAAATTAAAAGTAATAAAACATTTATTATCTTAAATATAAAAAATAAGAAGCATATCTCATTATTTCCATATACAATATAAACTAAAAAACAAAAACAAGATTTTCCCTTCATCAGTTCTATAACAGTTTGGCAACTGCTTGCTTTCTCTGTTCTGCAGTCATGTGTTCACAAGCTTCTAAGACGTTTGCCACTATTAAAGTCTGTTGAATTGTTTTGGCTTTCACCCAAATTCTTCCATTCATTCCCAACACCAACTCAAATGGGTAAAGTTGACCCAAATCCTGGATGATTTGACAGTCCGCAGCTAAGAGCCTGAAACCAAAATAAAAAAGTGGAGGAAAGGCAATGCATGATAAATTATATGTAGAGTTTGGATCTCTCTTTCTCTAACACACACACACACACACACACTGAAAAAGTGAAATTGTTATTTATTTATTTATTTATTTATTTAAACCATTTTTATGCCGCCCCATTTGCAAAAAGCCTCGCAAAGAGTAATGAAAAATCCCTAGGGTTTACACTTGACTCTGGAAGCTGTAAACCTAAACATTCATCCACAAAATAGTAGCTGAGCTATGTAAAACTTGTTTCCGGATTGTAATTCTTCAGAATGCTGGAGGGTGGAATGGGGGGGGGGGTGAGTGTGTGTGGGTGTGTCGGGGGGGGCTCTTCCAAATATAGATATAAAAATACACTTCACACAGACAAAGAGAAAAGTTCTTTCTTTTCTTCCAAATGTTAGGCTTTTAAATGGAAAATTTAGAAGAAGCAGCTTTTGATCCAAGCATCTTTAAATGTAATGTTTTGAGGGATTGGATGTGAAAACATAGCTCCATGGATCAAAAGAAGCAGGTTCATGTGGGAGCAAACAAGCACAGTTTTTTGCTCAGTCACCACTTCTTCAGCTATTGTTATAATGTGGGAACCCTACACTCTGAGCTCTTCAGGGGTGTAACCCAACAAGCCAGAGTTTCAGAAAGTGTGAGCAACACAGGAACCAGCACTTTCCTTCCCATTCAAGGTAGGATTTGCAAATTGGGCTCTAGAGTTAATTAGAGAGTCAAGACATCAGAGAAAGGAACTGTAGGGGTGCACACAAAGTATTGCTCTAAATTTATTGTACTTATTCTGTGGCAGGGCTCCACTGCTCTTGTTCAGGATGTGACAAAGCATGTGTTTATCTCAAAGCACATGTCTACAAATGTCTTTTTCTGGTTGCTATTCTAGTGCTACTCCTGTTAGAACAAAAGAATTACTAGGAAATGTTCTGGCGATTGTTATACAGAGTTTTTGCATATCTGAAAGTTTTCCTTCAAAACACAGACTTGGAAAACAACAAACTCTTTTGACAACCAGTCTGCTGAACCACTGGGATTCAATTTGTCATAGTCTTCAGTTCAACTAGCTTTTAAAAGTTATTTCAAGTACAGTTTCAGTATAGCAAAATGACATTAATCCTAGTCAATGAGTCACAGCTATACCGTAACATCAACTGTTTGCGTGATCTAGAAAGCGGCATGAAGGACATAACTGACGAATATTCCCGTACTCAAGAAGACAGAGTATGCTAATAAGAATTTATCTCACACTTACTTTCTTATTAAGCCCAACGACACCTTGAATAAGAAGCCATCTTGTCCAATTACTCCCATTCCATTTGCTCGGCCACTACTGTCTATGCAGGCCATTTCAGGTTCCATATCTTTATTTGCAACAATGAACTGGCCGTAAACAAGGTCTCCCACCTACAGAAATTAATACGTATTCTGGAATTATTTCTGTTTTGTTATTAAAACAAAGCCATATTATCAGGAAAACATGTTTACCAGTTATATAACTGGTGGCTGTCCTCATTAAACAAGAGAGCCAAAATCATGAGTTGCAGTCAACTCAAAAATCAGACCATGTCAAATGATGATTTGCTGCCCAGTAAGTAGTAGTCAAGGTTTCCCAAGTTCAGACATCCCAGGGAACTGTGGCTAGCTTTAAAGCTGGAGACTGTATCTGTTCCACAGGTATGAAAATTTGTACAGAGAAATGGAAGCTCATGAGCCTGACACTTATTCCAGAAATACTAACCATGATTTACCATTGCTGTTTAACTGATGGGCTGTACTGCCACTTCTCATATTAGCAAAGTACAATAGTGCATAGATATAGATGCTATTGCCACATATATTTGAAATACATGAGTATTCACTTTATATGGATGCTGTATATAAAGCACCTTATAATGCATTATAATATTGACTAGATGAGTCAGAGCTCTCACAGCTGTGCACTACTGGAAAACTCCACTAGGCTCTGAACTGTCTGATGCTCTATTTTTAAAAGGCCTCTTAAAAAGCAGAAATGAAGGCGAGTATTCCTGTTCCTCTTGGCTATTAAAGCAGGGCAATGAGTAATTTGTTATCACAGGCCTCTTCAAAAGGTCACGATCTCTTCCCAAGAATCAGCAGATAGAGAAGAAGCAATAAGCAAAGGCATTTAAACCCTGCCCAAGGCCTATGCTATTTGTTTAGGCATGTCCTCACACAGATACTCTTACAAAGTCTTATGACTAAGGAAGTGTTGACTCAACACTACTACTTTGAACAATTAACACAAGTTTAGCAGAGCAATCCTAGACACCTCCTCAGAAATAAGTCACAGTAAACTCAATGAGACTTGTTCCCACTTAAGTGTGACGAGGACTATGGCCTTCGAGAATCCCTGCTGTCACCATATTTTAGGTCCTCACCTGCACATTTGGCCTGTTTCTTTTGGTTGCACCTTCAAATGCCAGGTAGGATAAAGATGCTTGCTCGCTTCCTCCAACATCCAGTTTGAATATGTCCCCAGCTTTGGCAGTCACTATGCCAATCACGTGATCGCCCCTGACTGGAACATACTAGTCATGGAAAGAATATATTTGTCTTTTCAAAGAGGGGCCTTTAAAATGTGCATATTACTTTCATATACAAAACAAACAGTAGCAACAATTCTATGTAGCATTTTCCTCACACACAATCCACGATCTACTACTCAACCCTGCTACTAAACATCATACAGCTTTTTATAATGAAAACACTAAACACAGAATTCATGTTCCTAACAATGTTGTATCTGTATTAATTTGGATTGATATTTGGAATTAGAAATTAAAATAGTTCATGAATACTATTCACATGATGAAGATGTGTAAAATGTTAATCCTTCAATAATATTGTTGATTTTAACATATTAAAAGGCATTTTAATTTCAAAACATCAGAATGATATACATACATACATACATACAGCTTGCTAACAAGGTGTCAGAAATCCAAGCAGAATGAATACATGTATGCTTTCTGTATGTCTTTCAAATCCCTATTCTGTGGGGGAAACGGCACAATCCAAACTAGAAGAGCTGAGAAAGGGTCACTGCAGTATTGCTGCAAATGAAAAGAAATGCAGAAATGCAACAAAAATTAAAAAAAGGCATGATTCAGCCCACATAAGCACTTTAAGGAGCAATCAATAGGAATTAAAGCTGAATCATGTCCACTGTGACATCACAGCTGGGCAAGCCAGCAGTCACAATGGATGTTGATGGGCCTAGCTAACCACAAGATAAAGGGTATAATCCTCTGTTTCAAGGCTGGATAACTCCCGATGTCCCTGTTTGATGCCACCACCAAAACCTTGAAAATATCGTTCCAATCCTGAAGTAATAAATTATTTACACACTCCTACCTGTTTAAGATTCAGAGGGGAATTTGCTCCTCCAAGCACCTATGTTTTTCCATGGTAAGGCACATATATAGCCATTTCTGCAACTCATTTTTATATTATTTTTGAGAACGTAAATATCTGTGAAATGATGAGGATTCTTAATAACTTTCTACACAACTTGTCTTACAAAGGAAAACATAGCAGATATCCTAACTTCAGATTTGGTTTCTGTTTATTCTCTGAATCTGCCCACCCTTCCACACTTGGAATTACAGCACTTTAAAAGTATTAGTGGGATAAGGGCACAAACTGATAAACGTTAGACACAACAGAAGTCCTACAACTCACAGCATTCGCCTGCCTTTTCAATGTTTAAATATGCATAGGATTATGCCCAGAGGTGCTCACGGAAAAACACATACTTAACACACTTGAGTGTTAGATGCTACTAGCACTCACAAAAACAAAACTGCTCTGGAAATATGCTTCCTTCAGAACCATCTAAAGAAATGCTCCAGCTTTTTTCCTACTGATCCTTTGGAAGGAAGGAAAATGAAATGTTGAGACTATTAAAGCTTCCAGTAAAAAAAAAAAAAAAAAAGTTTGCTTTGGGCAGCCTTCCTGGAGTCTTCCAATGGGTTGGAATTCGTTTCCCATAACTGATTACCCAAGGATTATGGGATATGCAGTCCAACCAATTCTGCATGAGTCGGACTACATTTTCCATAATCCAACTGCCAGGAGAAATATGGGAAACAGTCCAACACATCCTGAGAACTAGCAGAGTGATTAAGCCAGAACAAATTTCTCCTGAGCCACATACACACTAAAGGAGATTTAAGGCAAGCCAGTCTTCTCTCTGCCCACATGCTTGCACAATTTGAGAACCAATGTTAAGTGGTGGTGAGAGTGCTGGATTGTAGACCTGAAATCTGGATTCTAGTCCCTCCTAGCCAAGAAGCTCACTGGATGTCTTTGGGCCAGACTCACTTTAAGCCTAGCATGCCTTACAGGGTTGTTGTGAAGACAATATAGAGATGGGTGGTTATTCAAGCCACCCTGAATTCTTAGTGGGGAAATGCAGGTTCTTAATGTGACCTATAAATAAAGGGAGCCAAAGGGATGGCTAGCTTGCAGGACCAGGAGAACCAGGTCTAGTTCCCACTTAGCCGTGAAGCCCACTGGGTGAATTTTGGCCGGACATTCCTTCTGAACCTAGCCTACCTTTGGATACAGTGGAGCTATGAAAGCGCGTTAGGTTTCTCACAAGAGGTGGAAAAAAGCGCGATACAAATATCACGTAAAAATAGTTTGGAAATCTAGAGACTAGCCTGCCTACAGGGCTGTCGAAATGCTTCGTTTGAGTAGTATAGCACTCTTGTTCGAATCTCCCTCCCTGCGTTCTTAGTCATCCCTTGAACACCCGGGCAGGAAAGAGAAGCCACCACAGAGGGAGCCCTCCCATCTCGCAGGCCCGCCTTCCCTTACCCGCTTTTGCTGCGAGTCCACCCAATAGGTTCCTCCGGAACCACTCGCACCGCCTCCTTGTCCTCCGCCGGACCCGCGGTAGCGCAACACCCCGCACTTGGTGACCAGCAGGCCCTCCCCGCCGCGCCTCAGGCCCGGCCCGCAAACCAGCCGCCCCTTCTGAGGCCCGCCGGTGGCCAGGCGCAGCCGCTCGCCGTCCGCCTCAGCGTAGCCCGGCAGGAGCAGCGCGTCCCCGGGCAGCACCACTTGCCCCACCCGCTCCGCAGCAGGGCGCGCACCGGCCGCCGCCATGATTCCGCCAAATGCCCCCTACCGCCCTTCCTTCCAGTGGATAGCGCCTGCGCGCGCAGGCGCACAAACACCTTCCTGCGCGCGCCCTCCTTCGTTAGCTTGAATGTCTTAGGCTCTGCGGCCATCCTGACCATAGAGATACATTTATAGAGGAGCGCTTCTGCCGGTTGTTCTTTGCAGGTTCTCCGTTTCACGTTGCGGAAGCGAATGAAAAGCGCACGTGTCTCCGTGCGTGTGAATGAGGCGCCGCCAAATGCTCCCCTCTTCTCTTTCTATGCACCCCTTTTCAGCTGAGGTGGCCTTAGGAGATAGGGTTGTTTAAACACACAGCACAACACACACTTCAAAGCCTGATTCTGTCTGAATCTAGATAAAAATACGAGGAATGTTATCCTTTGTAATTTAAAAATGAACAGAAACCAAAGTAGGGGAGATGGTTTTATTTTTATTTTTTCCATCTTTGAAAGAACTTGGGGGTCTTTTGGCCAAAGAGTGGGATAGATGTTGAAAATCAGCAATAAATCAGCCACAGATGCAAGAACGTCTCCTGCAAGAAGCTAAAAAGGAAAACTTTTAAGCCACCACTACTTCTGTCCCCAGTGAATGGTCAAAAGACAAAAAGAAATGTATAATCTGGCCAACACAGATTTTGATGCCTTGAATATTAGACCTGTGCCTGGGTATATTTGACCCGCTGATTCCAAAAATGGCACCAATTTTTCCCTATCAGCTCTAGTTTTTGAGATACAGCATAAATGCCATATACAGTGGTACCTTGGCTCACACACTTAACCCGTTCCAGGACTCTGGTCGTGAGCCAAGTCAAATTTTCCCATAAGGTACACTGTAAATAAGGTTAATCTGTTCTGTAACTATTTTTTTAAATCAGAAAAATAGGCAAAGGAACAAAGAACAGCCCGTCATCTGGGAGTGGGGAGGGGGGAGACAAGCGCAAACGCAGGCAAGCTCAGGGGGAGATGTTCGCGACCCAATTTGGTCATGAACTGAGGCATTTGTGAGCCGAGGTACCACTGTACTACTCTTCACTCTGGTTGCTGAAGGGAAAATTTGGATAAATCCTGGCAGAAAAAAGTTGCTTATATGTGCTTTTGTGTTATAAAATCAAACCTGCACTCTTTCTCAAAAGCATCGGCTTTCCAAGCTAAGTCACTGTTTAATATTGCTGTTGTCTTAAGAAAATGGCACTCTTCCCCCTCCCCTGTCTTCTCCCCTCTACCTGTAAGCCAGAGCAGACAGCCCATTCAGTCCAATACACAATCAGCGCTACAATGTTGCTGTACAAGGTTGCTGTATAGTCCCTGTAGGAATTCACAGTTTACCAGGAAGTATCTATTTTGCTAGCCCAAAGCCTCCATGTGCCCTAGCCAATAAGAATGGTGGGGATACATTACTCAGGGTGCAACAAATGAGCTTATGATTTCAGGGAAGATTTCTCAAAAGCCTGAATTTACATGTCTAAGTAGACCCGGAGAAGGGTTCAAGTTTCTGGAATTTACTCAACTGAAATGTCAATACACTGCAATTAGAAATACTGTAATCTTATTGTCATTTGCTGATGTTTGGCTGATCTTCCTTATCTGTTCTGTATATGATGACCTCAGAATATCATTGTAATGTCTGCATTCTGTCATTAATTGCTCAGTACCAGTGTATGTGACTGAGGGAGTATAAAATGCTCTGTACGTGTATTGAAACCTCATAGTTAAGTCTACAGCTGCCCAGTAATGCATTATCATGAGTAGAACCTGCAGGGAACCTGGCTCTTAATCTCAATAAAGCAGTGGAGGTTCGAACATTTGATCTTTCCCACAAACCCAAGTTTTTATTTCCTCCTCACAAATTGAAAACTGAGATTCTGTCATTGCCCTTCGAAAATCAGGATATTTTAATGTAGTCTTTTATTTATTTAATTTTATTTGTTCTAGCATTCCCATCTTCTCAGAGACATACAGAAAGTTTCACCAAGATATTGGTGTGCAGGATCATGATAAAAAAAAATCACCTTATACCATAGGACCAGCTGTCCTAGCATTCTTTACGGGACTAGCACTTGCTTTGCAAAGGGTTCAGGCACAGGATTTTCCCAACCCAATTGAAAAGAAAGATCATTTTAATTGGAAGTGCCCAGGAGTTGAAGCTGGGATCTTTTCTCAGAGCATCAGGAATCTCTTTAAGCACTCCTAAGGAAGCCAATCTACTTCTGCAAATCCTACGACTGAAGCAAGCTCTACACTGCCTGCAGTGAAGATGCTATATTTCCATAATATAAGTATATAAATAAGCCATGCATGGATGGTTCAGTTCTACAGAGTACACAAGCCCAGCTGCACTCTCAACTATTTTAAGTTACTACTGCAAATATTGCTAACGTCAGTGTTCTAATCTAACTGTGAATGAGAAAACAGAACAGAATGACTCTTTGCTCTGGTTTATTAGCACATGGCGACACCATCTGGCTGACAGAGGAAACACAAAAATATATATAACCATTAAATTAGGGGTTTTTTAGACCCGCAAGGATTAAGTTTAGACTGACAATCTTGAGAACTATAAACAAAGTCTAACAAATCTGTCATGAAAAGTTTGCTAGTCCAGACATTTTTCCTCATAATAAATTTCATGGGATTTGCTTTGTTTAAAATTAACTTTAGCTCCATTTTAGTTCTGATTCATCCATTGATTCTTGCAGCATTATTGGTTACAGATTACCAGCACATTCCAATGCAAGCCTCACTGTGTTTAATGCACCTTACACCACAGTGCAAGTGCCCAGGATTTCAACAGTAATATTTCATTTCTTAATCATTTACACTGCAAACCGATACTTCCCTCAAAAAATTTGACAGAAGAAAAACCAAACTGAAATATATGATGCTTTTGTTCTGCTAAGACAGCTTTTTTTATTGTAGAGACACTAGAAGGAAAATATATATACACATTTGTTGTGAAATTTCACTCTCTTAAATGAAAAGACATAATACACAAAACTGAGTGGCAGAGCTAGTACCCTGGAAGAAGGAAACACAATTCAAAGTGCTTTTGATAGGTTGGAGAGCTGGACTGAAAGCAACAGAATGAAACTCAATAGGGACAAATGCCAAGTTCTATACCTAGGAAAAGGGAACCAAAGGCGCAGTTACAAGATGGGAAATACTTGGCTTAACAACACTACAAGTGAGAAGGATCTTGAAATTGCTGTTGATCACAGTTTGAATAGGAGTTAACAGTGTGATGTGGCTGTAAAAAAAAGCTAATGCTATTTTGGGCTGCATTAAACGAAGTGTAGCTTCCAAGTCCCATGAGGCACTGGTTCCCCTCTATTCGGCACTATTTGGGCCTCACCATGAGTACTGTGTCCACTTCTGGACACCACACTTCAAGAAAGATGCAGACAAACTGGAAAAAGTTCAAAAAACAGATGATCAAGGAACTGGAACCAAAGCCCTAGGAGGAGAGATTGGAAGAGCTGGGCATGTTTAGCCAAAGAAAGAAAATATTGAGGGAAGAGATGATACCACTTTTCAAATACTTGAAAGGCTGTCAAACAGAGGAGGGCCAGGATTTCTTCTTGACCATCCCAGAATGCAGAACACTAAAGTTACAGGAAGCCAGATTCCAGCTAGACATCAGGAAACATTTCCTGACTTTTAGAGCAATATGGCGGTGGAACCCAGTGATCCAGGGAGGTGGTGGGCTCTCCCACACTGGAGGCATTCAAGAGGCAGCTGTCCAGGATGCTTTTAGCTGGGGTCCTGCACTGAGCAATGGCCTTATAGGCCCCTTCCAATTCTACTATTCTGTGATTCTATGAATACATTATGAGATACAACACAGATAAAACACTTGCACTTTAAAAGGTCGACTGCAATGTCATTTTTTTGGGCATCACCATCTGCTTAGCACTTTACAGAACAAAAAGCAACACACTTGTGAGTTAAGTAAAAAATATGTGCCTGCAAATGCAACACTCTGAAAGTGCAGAACAGTTTTTGCAGGGGGGTGAGGGGAGAGAGCCCAATCTGCATTAATGGCAACCTTGCTGGCAGAGTGTGGAGCCTCTCCTGAGCTCACAGACAGGTGCTCTCTCAGAGATGCCATTTGTACAAAGCTGCATCTTCATGGGAAGGCTTATCTGCATCATTGCTGTGGCTTGCATGGATGCAAAAGGCTTTTTTCTTTTGCACATCGGCAACAGAAACAGCTCATACACAGTTTCCCATAAGATGTTGTTAGTCGCAATGTCGTGTCCAACCCATCGCGACCCCATGGACAACATTCCTCCAGGCCTCCTTGTCCTCCACTATCCCCGGAGTCCACCTATGCTCAAGCCGACTGCTTCAGTCTAGCCACCTCATCCTCTGCCGTCCCCTTCTTCTTTTGCCACCTATTGTTCCCAGCATTAGGCTCTATATAAGAATATATATTGTGTACATCTCACTATCAGTATAGCACAGCTTCCGGGCAGGCTCAGGTCAAGCAGGATCTGGCTCAGAGTGGCCACAACCTTGAGGACAGTTGGGTTTTTCCCAAATGTTCCAGAGCTGCCACCAAACAAATGCCTTGCCAAAGGTTACTGCCTCATGAACATCATTTAATGATTAAAAGCATGGGAGTGCTGACTCAGACCAGGATCCAACCATGGGGATAGGTAGGCTTTAATCCTCCCAATCTGGATTGGCCCCACCAACTGTGCCTGGAATTTATATTGCCCAGTAATGGCTCGAGGGATCATGAACCTCTGCAGCTCAGCCTTGCCATTGCTCAGAGAGGTGTAGTGCTCAGTAGATTTATACAGGATTACCCTGTAAATAAACAAATGGAAAGCTGTTTGAAACTTGGGTGCTGGAGGAGAGCTTTATGAATACCCTGGACTGACAGAAAGACAAGCAAGTGTTAGAAAGGGTCCAGAGGAGGGCAACAAAAAGAATCCAGGGTTTGGAAACCCTGCCCTATGAGAAGAGGTTGAGAGCTGGTCGTGTTCAGCCTTGAGAAGATTGGGGGGGGGGGGCGGGCATGGTATCCCTCTAGAAGTACTTCAAAGGTTGTCACAAAGAGGAAGGTCAAGATCTCTTTTTGCTGATAGTAGAGTGTAGAACTTGGAATAATCAACTCAAGTTGCGACACCCAGATTCAGGATGGACTTCAGGAAAAGCTTCCTTGCTGTCAGAGCAATTTGACAGTGAGACCAGCTGCCCAGAGAGGCGGTGGGCTGTCCCACACTGGAGGCATACAAGGCGAAACCGGACAGCCATCTGTGTGGGATGGTGTGACTTGGTGTCCTGCAACAGCAGGGAGTTGGACCCAATGGCCTTCATGGCCCTTTCTGACTCTACTATTCTATGATTCTAAGTGGGTTCTAGATCAAATCAAGGACCTGGAAGCAAAACAAGATGAAATGGAAGCTATCATAGTTCAGGCACATTATGAGAAGGCTCATCACTGGAGAAGAAGATCATGCTGGGGAACATCAGAGGAAGACGTGGAAGCCCAACTATAAGGTGGATCCGTTCCGTAACGGAAGCCACAGCCTTGAGGTGAAAAATGCCGAGCACAGCTCCCAAGGATGGATTACTTTAGAGGGCACTCTTTCTTAGGGTCATCATAAACTGGGAGATGCCTTCACAGCACATAACAGCAACAAACTGCTGGAACTGTGGACATCATCCTGGATGAGAAGAAAATGCTTTCTCTATCCAATGCTGCAATTGAGAGAAAAGGAAAAATCTATTCCTACTTATAAGCTTTTCTTTTCAGCTTCTTTTCATAGCTACCACTTCTTGGGACAAAGCCCTGTTGAATTCCGTAGGTCCTACTTCCAAATAAACCTGAGTAGCATTGCAGTACTATTCTAAATTCAGATCTTGGCTGAGTTCGAATTCTTCATGTGAAGTGTCATCTTCCATTTGCAAATCATATTCATTCTCAGTTATCCCGTACTGTTCGGACTGGTTATTCAACATCCCCTTGGGAATCCAATCAAAATCTTCATCCACCATAATCTCAGTCAAGTCTTTTCCAAGAGTTATGCTGGTACTTATAGGCATCTCGTCCAACTCGTTCCTTACAATATTTAAGTCACCTTGACCCGTCTTGTCTTCTAACACCTCTTGTTTTGACACAGGAGCTTCAGATTCTTCTTGAATGGCCACAACTTTTTCTGTAGTTCTCTTCTACTAATGGAAGGAAGTGTCATATGCATGAATATCACCAGAAAAGTTCCCTTTCTGAAACAAGTTTTCTAGAGTTTTCACCTTTTGGGGCACTGACAGAGCAATCCTATGGCCCCTTAACCATATACAGTGTGCTAGAGGATTCTCTGGAGACCCAACTCCATGTTCAGAAAACAGCTTTTGCTGCCAGTGCTGGGATGCAGTTTCTGGACTGTCCTCCCCAGGCACATGAAGCCACCACAAAAAGAACTGTGTTTGCTGCATCTCTGAGGTCGTAACAGGGTGGAGAGGGTGTTCTTGCCTGCCGGGAGGGGAGGAAAACTCCCCTCCCAGTCTGAGGTGCTTCAGCTAGAGAGCCGAAATCGGTTAGCTAGCTGAGCTGAAGTATTGGAAGAACATGGAGTTGCCTGGTGGAAGAAGCACAAGTTCAGAAGTTTGTGAGCAACTCCACTGGACTGTCTCCTAAAGGATCAATCCAATGACCCCTAGACATTGTCAAATGAACCACAAAATAGTGGAGATTTCCCCCTTCTGAGACCTTGTAATGGGGAGCCTGAGGCCCAAATGAACCCTACTTTCTGGTTGTCACTTTGCAAAGATCTTTATCAATTAAAATGAGAATTGAGTTAACTAAAGTGAATCACCAAAACAATTTCTCATCCACCTGTTTTAAAATCCAATGGCCACTGAGTACACTACATCTCACATTCAAATGGGGAATCAAATATTACTTGTTTAAAAGTTTAGAAATTCCGACCTTCTGCTGCTCTTGAAATGTCTGGGCAAACAGGAGTTGTTCTGCTTCCAGCTTCTCTGTCCTCTCCAATTCTGCAAGGGCTTCTTCATGCTCACAGTCCAACTGGGCCTTCTCAATTTTCCTCTAGAAAAGCACAAGACACAGGACAATTGGAGAAAGATGAATGGAAGCTCTTGCACTTTGAGACTGGCTTTCTTCAACTCTGTGCGTTTGTTTGTTTTACAGAGGAAAGCAAAGTCACCTTTTCTTCTTCATTTATTCTTTTCTTGTAGCTGTAAATCCAATGTGCCAGGAAATTGATTGGGTCCGCCGGCTGGCGGTCTGCCACCTCAGCAAGTCCCTCAGCCAAGCATTTTCCCACGCATTGCTTGAGGTATTCTACATCCATTCCCATCTTTGACCAAACCTGCATTGATATGATCCATCAGATTGGTCCTTCACATTCTTACATAAAAGCCTATCATGTTAATGACATAGTTATTCTGGAGAAAAAAACTGTGTAACAAGCATGATGTAGCCATTCAAAGAAAAAACGGCAAAACATTACCTGCATGTTCAAAGCACATTTTCCTTTTGCATTTCATATAAACAGTCATATTTAGAGGCAAAACTCATTGGATTACATATAAGTGCCACCACATACATGCAAATCTCATACCTACACACCTTTCTGTGCACAAGAGATCTGACTTTGTTCAGATGATTAAACAAACAGTTTGCTAACTGTGGATTATTTGCAGATATTAAGGAGCAAGTGTGTTGGCTCCTGAACATTTGCTTGCTTCTGCTTTGCTGAACAACCCAGGTATGTTTTGGGGTTGTTCACTGTGAAGTCCAAACCAAGAATTCTAGGTTACTGAAGGAGAAACAGTGCAGCATTATAACTAAGAACAAACCATGGGTTAAACCCTTGGAGTGTGTCTCCCTTATCCTTCTGTCATGAAGAGCAACCTAAGATTGGGGCATTCCTGGGTTGTTTACCAGAATGGAAGTGGGCAAGCAGTAAAGGACCAGCCTCCTTGCTTGTTCCATGTGCTCACAGACAACCCATGATTGCTAACCATGGGTTGCTTAATCATGTGAACTGGATCAAAGAGGCACACTGTGGAGAGTAAATGGGCAGGGGGTTGGCTGGGGAGGGAAAGAAGGGACTGGATCAGCTAGGCAATACTTAAATAAAGGTAAAGGTAAAGGTATCCCCTTGACATTAAGTCCAGTCATGCCTGCTTCTAGGGGGCAGTGCGCACCTCCGTTTCCTAGCTGAGGGAGCCAGCGTTTGTCCACAGTCTCTGTGGTCATGTGGCCGGCATGGCTAAACACCGAAGTGCACGGAGCGCTGTTACCTTCCCACCAAAGTGGTACCTTTTTATCTACTTGCATTTGCATGTTTTCGAACTGCAAGGTTGGCAGGAGCTGGGACGGAGCAATGGGAACTCACCCCGTTGTGTGGATTCAAACCAGCGACCTTTCGATCTACCAGCCCAGCAGCACAGCGGTTTAAACCACTGCACCACCTGCAGTCCCAAATAGCATGCAGCATAGTTTAAATTACACTGTACTACTTATAAAAATCCCATATCATAGGTAAAAAATCATCAATGAAAGTTTCCCCTTTGAAAGATGCGATAGGACCAAAGCATTGTGTGGATGCCAGGCATTAGGACACCTGAAACAGGTAACACCTTACCTTTTCCTACTCTGTAGGACTATGCAGCAGACAAACTGCTAGGAAAGAAGAGACAGTTTTTAAATTTAGCAATGACTTAACTAGGGGCGCTTCCAGATGAACAGAAGTCACACCCATGAAAAGGCACTGAGTAGCTATCCCTTAACAGGTTGGCAGGGGTGAGGAGAGAAAGGAAAAAGCAAGCGGGAAACATGGCAGAGGTGTAAGCAAAAGAGACCACGTATCCTCTGGATGTGTTCGCCCCCTGCTCTCCCAAATGAGGCAGAATCTTTGCACACACAGACACACAAAACTGTGGTCTGGAAGCAGCACCACGGGCTAATGAACAACAAAACAGAACAAAAGAGAGTAAAGCTTTAAAAGCTTCGGGAAGGATCACAGGGCAACATGTTTTTAAATCAACCGACCAGAGCGCTTGCGGATGAGGCTGTTCACCCGCCTCATGCACGGAGTCCAGCAGAAGCTCAGCCCCCCCACCCCGCTTCTTCCACCTTTTTTCTTGCTGCACATTTGACAGAAGAAGACGAAACTCCTGCACGATGCCCTTTTGGGCCCCTCTCTCTGGAAGCGCCGTAAATAAACGGGCGCAACCCTCTGCATGTTTTAGCAAAAGTCGTACCATTCCCAACATGCCCCAGCCAACGATCTAGCCAGAGAAAGTCAAAAGCAGCTCTATAAAATGACATTTACAGGCCACCGAAGGGGATGGGCGGCAATTATGCAAAGAGCCGGCTACGCGCCCACCTCCTTTCCTCCCGTTTTCTTCTCCCTCTGCAGGAAGCGGCGGCAAAGGGGAATCGGCGGGGCCGCCCGCCCAAGAACTCGCCCCGGCTCCGAGTCGCCTTCGCTTGCCCCGCGTCGCTCCGCGCTGCAGCGACCCGCCGCCGATGCTGCCCCGTGCGCGCGCGCGCAGCTCCCCGCGCTCCCGTTGCGCGGCAACCGGACGCCGCGCGCCTGCCCACCCCGCGCTGCGGGAGCTGCATCACAAGCCCGGAGGCTTGCGGGAACCCGATTGGCTGAGCCAGCCAAGCCTAGACAGCCTTCCCAAGGAGCCAGTCCCGTGGAAGGCGAGGCGTCCCTTAGGAGAAAAGACGCGGAGAGCCCTTTTGCTCCCGGGGGTTCCTTCTCTCCGCATCCAAGGCATCAGCAAGGGAGGAAAGTCTGGCTTTCCTTGCTCGAGGGCTAGGCCATCCTAAAAGTGGAAAGGCCAGCGCTAAGAGGAGTTCCTATGCAAGCTTGGAGAAAAAGCAAAAAACCCCCATCCTCTTTCCTTCCTTGCATTGGCAACTCCCGTCGCCTTCCAATATGCATTGCTCTGTGCCATCGAGTCCCCGGCACACCTAAACAAGGATTCATTCCGTTTGCAAAATCTAATTTTGCGACTGTAGCCCTCATTGTTAAAACATCTGGGACTTATTTTGGAACTTTTCTGTTTCTTCTTGCACCCCTTTTTGTGTTCTTCTTGCACCCCTTGTACGATCGATCCGGATGAAGGGGCCTCAAAAGCTTGCGTACTTTTGCAGTATTCTGATGGACCCAATAAGGGTATTGCCCAACTTGAAACTGATAAGGGATGTAAGATAAGAAAATTGTGTGGCATTTTATTTTCGACTCATTGATTGAGTCGAAACCATTGATTGATTGATTGATTGATTCAAACCATTGATTGATTGATTATATTCTGCCTATTTCCAATACTGGGTCTCAAGGTAGCTTACAACATTAAAAACTTAGAAACTTCTAAGAAGGTTAATAATTAAACAAAAGAGGCAATGTGGCCTAGTGGTTCAGAGTGTGGGACTGGGGTTCAACAGACATGGAGCTCACTGGGTGACTTTCGGCCTGTTACAAATTCTCAGCCCAACCTACCTCACAGGGTTGTTGTTATATGGAAAGGATTGAGAGGGGGAGGAGAATTATGTAAGCCTCTGAGTTCCTTGGAAGGAAAAGAGTGAAATATAAATATAATTATTAATAAATACATACATAAATAATGTTGAAATATGCAATAATTAAATCAGACTATATCAAATAGCAAAAGTAAAGCGATATATGACAATATAGATGATAGAACTAGTCCAATGCAGTCTGGAGTATTCCCAAAGGCCTGCTGGAACAGAAGTTTTTGCCTGTCTCCAAAAGCATGATGGGGGGCACCAGCCCTGGGAGTTCCAGATCCTGGGGGACCCCACCCAGAAGGCCCTCCCCTGTGTTTCCACAAAGTGTCCTTGTGAAGGACGTGAGACACAGCTAGGCTCATCATTCTATTGATTTCATTTTTATACTGCCCCATCACCAAAGCTCTCTGAATACCATCTTTCGAACAGAAATGATTCTGCTTTCTTCTATTAATACGAGCAAAAATCTTCCATCTCTAGATGAAATCATTCTGTATCTTCCCCTCCTTCATGGTGTTGACCAAAAGGTTCATTCATGTCCTGGTATGCACATCCCCAAAAATACACAACCAGGGAAGGTTTTCTTTTAAAGGATTTATTCTCAAGAATAACCAGCTACCAAGGAATCCTTCCAGGTGGCACACCTGAGCAGTCCTCAGTTGGCCCTTTTATACCTTGATCATTAAAGGGTTACCCGTAACACAGTTAACACTTTCCAGTAGGTACAGAAGTGAAATGTTGCAATGGTGTGGTCTTTCCCACTTGCATACCAAAGAAGATGCCCCAAAGGAGGGAAAGGGATGGGGTGCTCTTACACAGAAGGGAAGGAGGGGGGGATGCTGTGAATCGGCCTTTGTTTGAGCTGCTGTTTCCTGTCAAGGGCCAGCCCGCTTTCTCTGGACCGGTGCCTGGCCAGTGTCAGCTCCATTTCAAGGATGCTCACACGCTGATTTCTAGCAAAGAGGGTTTTTCTCAGGCCTGATTACGTGTCAATGATTGCATGATTTAACCAGTGAAAGTTCTATCTATTGATTTGTGCATGAATGGGAAGAAAGAGAGAAAATTTACCTACCTTTTACTGCATTTGTTTGGATTTTTTTATTAGATAGATTGAGAAGTCTTCATAGCTATTTATAGGAGAGACTGAAACATTTGTGTTAGTATCTTGTTTAATGTCAGTCAAAATACTTGCCATTTTTTGTTACAAATGCAGTATGAATGTGGCCACTTTCTTGCATTTATAAAGGAAACAAATAAAGGGCATTTTTAAATCTATACTTACTGATCAACAAGAGCAGAGTTTTAAATATGTAATTTGTTTGCAAGTATAGTAATGGCTATATCAGCATTGCCACAAACAGCAGACCTACAGGCTTTTTATCCACACTATAGAGGTATTTGAGCAGGAATCAGTGCAACGTAAACATTTCAACCAAGCTGTGAAGACTCTCCTAGCTAGCTTAGCACATACACACAAACAGTAGGAATGATATCTGTCAAGGTGGGAGCGGGAGAGATGCAAGATCTTCCAGGAGATGGCTGCACAGAGATGGAACACTGGTCCGTTGCTAAGATACCAAAGAAAAGCATCTAGAGCTAACCGTCTTCTCCAGATACCCACAGTGCCTATCCTTGCAGAAGAGGAAAGAATGAAGAAAATATCCACACATTAGGAATAAAGAGGTTCTGCTTGTCCGGATGTGAGTTTATCTTGAGGGAAGTATGCTTTTTTATGTTCTTAAGAAGATGGCACAGCCAAATGGCAGCTGACTTGGAGCAAGTATTCAGAATCGGACCTTAGTGAAATCAGCCAAGTTCCACCTCTCACATCTATTTCTGATATTGTAAAACCACCATGGGGCTGATTCATCCACATGTCTTTCTGTCAGTGCTATGTTAATATCCCAGTTTGGTTCTTCTGCAATAATTGTAGGCTTTAAGTTTGAAAAAGCCAAATTTCCTCTCCAGTTAATAGCAGCTGCAAATTACCTTATTAATTTAAGTGTCTTGGCAGTGTTTTTGACAAGCCTGTGCTCTTCAAAGCAGGTTATGAAAATTGACCAAACAGAAATACAATGGAAAGTTACAGCTCAGGTTGTTTTCTTCCCCCACTCTAAACCAATATTCCCTGAAACAGATACTTGGGCAGCACAGAATGGAGACGGCATACCTCAAAAAATGCCTGGGGAAATGTTTAGCAGAGGGTCTTGCTGAGGTTGCAGAACATCGGCCAACAGACCCAATCCTGTATTTGGCACACTGGATCTACAAATATAAGAAGAATATGATTGAAGAACTACAGGTGAGACCTCTGTTTCTAAATTCAGCATGGTTAAGGCATCTGAAGCCCTTTATTCTTGTTGTTGTTGTTTAAATAATTTAATCACTGTGCGTGATTTCTCTCCTCACTGCCTGAGTTTGCCTTGTCTCAACTAAAGCCAGTTAGAATGGCTTGTTGCTGAGGGAATTATTTCTCCAATAGCCCATGGCCTGATGGTTTTAACCCTCTAACAAGCCATGCCACCCAGGTTCAGATGACATGACATGACAAGCGAAGCCATGCCCTGGCAGTGAGTTCAGAAAGCACCCCCCCCCACACACACACACACACCAGACACAGAGCAATTTGATTTAATTGTGTGAATCAGCCATAGCTATTTCCCAAGAAAGTCATAAATTAGGACTGCCTTCCTTTTATGCTGGAAATGCAAGTTCTCTGACATGGCGGGCTTTTTCTTAACCCCTCATCTGGAATTATTGGGTAGAAAGCATTTGGAAGGGAAGAAACAAATACGTTGGCAGTTTTTAATGTAAATTACAGAACACCCATCAATCAGTCAATCAGTCAATGAAGCTGAGTTGTTGAGTTAAGACGAGCCTTGGTGAACTCCAAAGATATGCCTTTCAGTTTGTAGAACTGAAGCTACATTAAAAACTAGCGCTATATTTGGGTAACTCTTGAATCTAGTCCATTTCCCCATCATACTCTAGAATATTCATATATAGGCAGAGATCACAAATGCACCGTTTGGTCACAGCAACACAGGTGGCCCTCAAAAAGCTCTCCCTGAATCTTTCTGCTACTGCATCTGAACCTCTGCACCTCTTTTTCTGTTTTGCTTTGTTTTGTTTTGTCTTTTTGTTTTATTTCGTTTTCCTAATTACATTGATAGAGGAAACTCGAGAGAGAAGAACTGGAACGAGAGCGTGAGGAGGCACAAAAGCAAGTGGAAATGTTAGCAAAAATGAAAGAAGAAGAACTTTTGTTCCAGCAGAAGCTTGAAGAAGAGAGACAGGTAGGTTGATAACCATACAAAAAGTGCCAATGGACTTTGCTCCTTTTGCCTATGCTGGGTTTCTCAGCTTTCAAATGAGTAGAAAGTTATTTGGTTGTACTACTTAAGAGGGATAAAAACATAGAAATAGAAATAGAGTGAGTCGGAAGGTGCCTCCTGGGCCATCTAGTTTGACCCCCAGCTCCAGCCGGCTCTGCTCACGTCATCCCCAACATGTGGCTGTCCATCCTTCCCTGAATGTCCTCCCTGATGGGGCCTCAGCCACCTTCCTTGGAAGCCCATTCCATATCCTGGGAGTCCTAACCATCAGGAAGTACTTCCTGGCATCCCCCTTGAACCTTGGTGCCCTAAGCTTTGCTCTATTGGAACACTTCCTGCCCTCCTCTGCAGGGGAGAGCAGGTCTCTGCCCACCTCCACATGGCACCCCCTCATGTACCTGTGCGTCGCTAACAGGTTCCCTCTGAGTCGCCTCCTCTCAAGGCTGAAAAGACCCAGCTCTTGTTTGTTGGGCCCTCTAAGAGGCCCTCAGAATGTTTTACAGGATTAAAATAATAATAGAACTACTGTAAACTCAGGGAATAATTAAGATAAGCCAACAAAATAAATACAGAGCTAGTAAGAAATACAATCAGCTAACCCTCCCTGTGCAAAGCAAAGCAAAGCAAAAGCAATAAAACACATTTGGACTGCCTGCACCAAAATTATGCCAAGAGACCCATCTAGCTAAAAAAAAAAATTTCTTTTTTTTCTAAATAAGTTTTATTATTATTATTTTATTTATTTATTTATTTAGAAAATTTCTATGCCGCCCCATTTGCTGAAGCCTCAGGGTGGCTTACAAATTTTCTACAAACTAAAAAGAAGAAACTAAAAACATCAATCATCAAAGACATCAGACCTACTGGGTCAGCCCCCCCCCAATATATATATATATATATATATATATATATATATATAATACCAATCCATAGATGTATTCATATCTATGCATAGTCCTGTTTCTCTAGCCAAAAATAAAAAGAGTTCCAAGTTTGATAGAAGTATGTATCCTCTTTCTCCTTCAGAGACAAAGTCAGCCTGTCCATTTCAGCACAGTCCAGAATCTTTTTTAAAATCAGTTCATCAGTGGGTGGTTCTTCACTCCTCCAATGTTGGGCAAATACAATCCTTGCCACAGTAATTACATGTAGAATCAAATGTATTGCTTGTTTATCAACATCATCAGACACAATGTCTAATAAAAAGACTTCAGGTTTAAATATTAAAGATTTTTGTAACATTTCCTCAAGTCATTTGTGTATTTTTAGCTAAAAATGTTAAGAGTCCTCTGGCTATAGAGGTTGAAATGCGCTGTGTGTCTCTGTTAGAGAGGCCACAACAAAGAAGGACTGTCCTTTAACACACAGATAAAACTATCTAGCCTTCCTCCTTTCTCCCTGCTATTGAGGGAGAGCTCAGTATGCTAGTTTTGAATGAGGAAGGAATGAAGGCCAACAGGAAAATGTCCCCTAATCGTTTCAGTGACAAACAGTGACCCGAGGCATGATGAAATGTTGACTTCCTCCAAATGCTTAAAAGTTCGGAAATGAAAAGTTCGGGTGTTACCAGCCAGACTTATCCAAGCCCTTACAGGAAAAAGGAATCCACATCATAGAAATAAAAGTAGCTCCCAACACAGTTCGCTTATAGTTTCCTGTGTCGTTCTAATATACTGCAAAGAAACTTCCGTTTTCTGCACACAGATTGTCTCACTGATTTCCCTGCCCACCTCTCCCTTAATATGCCAATTTCCTCGCCCATGCCACTTCTGCAGTTAAAAACGGCCACCGTCGTTGCACAATCCCTGCAAGCTGGTGTGTTTCTGTGCATGCTGGCAGCTGTTTTGAGTATTCAGGCTGTCAAGGTGATCACCATGGTTTACCATACCATCCAGCCCCAGTGAGGACTGGGTTTTCACATAGTTAACAAACCATTCACAACCCTAGAACAGCCCATCTGTTTGTTTGTTTCATTTCTGTACTCTCCCACACTTGGAGCTCTTTGGCCAGTTTACACAGTTAAATTTAAAAAGATTATAAAATACAATACAAAATCAGAAAGTCAGAAAAGAGATTATAAAGTTTAAAACAGTTACAAACAAAAAATAACAAGGAACAACAAAAGAGTGACTCTGTGAAACACCAGGTACCGGGTGATTTCCTCAGGCCCCTGGACGGCTGAGTAAAGGTTCGTTCCTTCCTTCCTTCCTTCCTTCCTTCCTTCCTTCCTTCCTTCCTTCCTTCCTTCCTTCTTTCTTTCTTTCTTTCTTTCTTTCTTTCTTTCTTGGTAGCACATCAGGGAGCAAAGTCTTTCCTGCCTTAGTGTTCTACTTACAGGGACTTTTCTTTTAAATAGCAAACTTTTTTTAAATTGATCCTTCCCCTGCAATCCTGGTGCAACACTCCTTGCCATTCATTCCCAGTCAGTTCTGTTGCATGCTTATGCCAGGGCTATGTATGGGGTTTTTGGACTTCAGTTTATCTTTATTTCAGAAGCCATTTTCCCCTGCAGTTTGCTTCATTGTTCTCAGATATGTGCTCTACTGTCCAACAAGAGAAAGCACATATTTATTTAGTTATTTAGTTACTTTCTGTGCCATGTGAGAACCAAAGTTCCCTAGAGATTTTACAGGAACACAAAAAATAAAATGCAATAAAAACACAACATATTTGAATTTGTTGTGAGCCGTCCCGAGGCTATGCAGCAAGGGGACGGCATATAAAAATTTTAAATAAATAAATTTATATGCAACATATTAGTCTATTTGTATACAATACGTAGATAACAATGAAAGCATTATAAAAATGTAACTACAAAAATTTAAAACAATTTAAAACCCAGACTGAAACAGATTAACCAGATTACAAGTTAAAACACCAAAGTTAAAACAAGGTCTGTTAATCACAGCACTCTTATCATGTACTGGTTAGAGCTATTAAATAGCTCAGCATAGAGGGCATTCTTAACCTTAAACTGACAGAGTAGCACATTTGGAGCCATTGGCTTCAGTGGGGAGATGTTTATGCAACTGGGGGGCCACCACTGAGAAGCCTTGGCCCCCCCTTGCCTCCAACCCAACCCGCTTCAGAGGCAGCAGCTGGATGAGGGCTCCTACTGTTGTCCGTAGCAACTGGATACATGGGGGCTGTAGCTGAAGCACTGGTCTTAAGCATGAGCACACTTGGCTTTAAGGCAGTACCTTTTCACAAACCCGAGTATTTGCATGGAATGGCTGCAGGCACAAATGGAACGAGAACGTGAAGAACGGGAGAGGGCAGAGAGAGAGAGAGCAGAAGAACTTCTGCGGGAGCAGAAACGACTAGAAGAAGCAGAGGTAGGAATTTTGAAAGCTATTGACAATCTTGCTTGTTGTATATGTCAACACTCTAGCAGTTGTTGTGCAAGCTATGCTCCAGCGGAAAGATGGTTTTTAAAGCTCTCACTGTGACCACTGGGTATTCCTTTGGCAGTTCACTTATTTTTATTGTGTTTGTATTCCACTCTTCCTCCATGGATATCAGGGAAAAACACCCAGGTTTTATCCTGTTTCCTGTTTCTACAATACTGGGAAGAAGACTGACATTTAAAGTGCATCAAGTTTGAAACAAGAGCAATATATGTTTTAAATTTTTCCAGTGAATAAAATATGCAAGGTGTTAAAAGTACTCTCTAATCATATTCTGAATTCAGTAAAGAAATTGATTTGGCTGGCATTGGTTCTATAAGCTCTTATTCGTTAAGTTTATACTACAAACCAGGAGCTGATCTGGATTCAGCTCCTGGAGCTGCCCTGTAGGATGGCCACTCATGTATCATCAAAGAAATGAGAAAAGGAAAGAATGTGCATTACATTCCCATATACTATTTTTATATAGGGAAATTTAGAAATATTTATTATATTTAGGCAGCCAGTGTGGTGTACTGATTAAGAGTGTGGTACTGGGACTCAGGTGATTCAGGGTCTAGTCCTTGCTTGGCCATGGAGCCCAGTGGGTGACTTTGGGCCAATCGCAGACTCTCAGCCCAGCCTACCTCACATGGTTGTTGTTTTCAGAAAGAGATTGAGAGCAGGAGAATGATATAAACTGCTTCGAGTTTGCTATAAGAAAAAAGGCAAGATATAAATCTAATAAATAAATCAATAAGGCTGGTCTGCAGGAATGTGTGTGATGGGCCCAAAGCCAGACAGATACTACATGGCTAATTAGGGACCCAGAATCAGTTCCGTCCAGATTGAAGTTCAGACAGTTCATTCACTGCTCCATCGGGTTGGATCCAAGATTTTGTACCTAGAAGTGTCATGGGTTGGTAATTTTGGAAGGAGGGACACACTTCTTGTTAGTCACCAAAGCCACCCACCCAAGCAGAGTCTGAAATGCAGGCAGATGTATGGATCCCATATCAGTTCAAGCAGCTTTCACTCGCATCAGACAGAGGTGTTTGGTAACACATCTCCATGGCCATCCCATGACAAAGCAACCACAAAAGACCTTGCACTGCAACCAAGAACAGTATATCATTGCTCTGAAAGTTCCTCTCCATCCAGCAACTGTCAAGTTTTGAAGAAGCAAGAAATGACATCAGGATCCCAGGGATGAAAAAACAATGCCAGTACTTCATTCCTGTGAGCCCCAGTTCCACTACACCACTGAATTTGTCTAAATCTTGCAGGCTAGATTCTTTGGTGGAGGCAAGGGATGGATATTTAACATTCTAAAATGTGCTAAACATTGGCCACGATGCTCATAAGTTTCTCCCCTTGTCAAACGCAGCAACCTCACAAGTGCAGTTTGGGTCAGGGTTATGATACAAGAACAAAGAACTGGACCTCCTCTTCTGCCACACACGGTGCCCCAGTTAAACTAACCACAACTTTTTCAGAAAGAAGAAAGATGCAAAGAGCTCAGAGATGGGCTTCTCACTGCAACATTTGTTTGCACCCCCCATAGAAGTAAAGATCATTCAGTAATTTCAGCTACTGCAGCAAGTGACTTACTTGCCATTTGCAAGTTGCTGTTTTCAGCTGTTTCAAGCTCCCTGACACCCTTCTTCCTATATCCAGTATCCATGGAACTGTTGCATTGTACTGCTGAGCAACAGAAATAATGGACATCTTGACACACTCATATGGATATTTGGGCTGCCTTTCCTGGAGCTGATGCACAATATCCGCCCCCCACCCCCGAAAGCTTTACTTCCCAGATAAGCAGTGTGGCAGAGTGGTTAGAGTGTTGGACAAGGATTCAGGAAGCCTCATTCAGCCATGGCACTCACTGGGTGTCTCTGGGCCAGGCACAGACTCTCAGCTGAACCTACCTCGCAGGGCTGCTGTTGTGAGGATAAAATGGAGAAGAGGAGAACCTGGCAAGCCACCTTGAGTTCCTTGCAAGAGGAAGAAATCTGGGCTCCATTGTCTGATGATGCATTTTGAATTCCAGGCAAAGGCAGCGGCAGAAAGAGAAGCGACTGCAAAGACTTTAGCAGAGCTGACAGATAAATATGGCGCTCCCAAGCTGAGTCGAGTTGATGAGATCGATGAAATGGAGCAATCTGAAGTAAGTGCGACCGAACGATGAACGCACCTCACACACATTTCGTACCCTGCAGGGTCATAGCAAAAGTCCTTCAAGTCCAGCCTCCTGTTTCCCACAGGGGACAGCTCTGCACCTCTAGGAAGCACAGAAAACATGTGATGTTAGGCAGATCAAAAACAATATGCAATCCTATGCGTGTTTAGGCAGAAAAATGGCTCTGCAACTGAGGAATGCTGGCTGGGGAATGCTGCAAGGTATACTGCTTTTTCCTTCTAAACATGGATAGGCTCACACCCTGCATTATTCACAGCCACAGCCTATCGATTTGACCTAGCTGTGTACTTTAGCACTCCCACGAGGATGAAGAAGGCTGAAATCTTGTTTCTTCCCTTGCAGTTGAGGTTTCCGAAAGGCATCCATTGATTCCCACTGAGAAACTACCCCCATGGATGAGCTGTGTTTGTCCTCAGATTCTGGTGATACAACCAGGCTCCAGGGTGCCATTTTGGAGCACCCAGAGTTACCCCCAGACTCCCCATCTTCATTCCCCATCTTACCCCCAGACTCCTCTTCACTCAGCAGAGACAGGAGCAAATTGACCCCTTGACACTCAGGTCCCACGGTTATGACATGTTTGCCACTTGGTGCAGCAAACGCCAAATGGTTGTGTCTTTGTGCATCAATAAAAAAGCCAACAAGCACAGCATGGAGGTGAGCATCTCCCACAATTCATTTTCAGGGGTGTATTTCCTCTCAATCCAGAAATCTTACAATCACTTCTGGAAGGAGGCTGCCAGCATTCAAATAATGCTCTACCCAGGGCCGTGGCAGTTTCCAATATTCAGCACAGTGGATACCACAGTTGGGGTGTGAGTGCAGAAGTTGTTAAAAATCATTAGAATGGGCCAATTTTCTAGGTATTCATGCCAAAAGGATCCCTCTGCTCTAAAGTGGAAAAAGAGAGCTGGAGTCCGCATTTTATGAAAAAAAAGAAATGCTAAAAAGATACGGATCGCCTGCAGCTTTACCCTAGGATAGATCTCAGAGCAGGCTGTTGGAAGTAAAGATAAATTCAAAAGGAAAAACCTGTCACACACTGAGGAGTAGTGTTTATTTGTCTGTTGAGTACTCTGAAGGCCATTTAAGCACCGCTTGCCTTTTTACAGCTGTCTTTACAAGCTCTTTACATTTACTCATTAATGCATCTCTTTCCCCTTGCACTCTCTTTTCCCTGTTTCTAGCATGCCCTGACTGCTATAACCGAGTCTGAGGATGAAGAGGAAGAGGTTCCCTTCTGATAAATAAAGATCTTTTCATCTGCTGCTTTGATTCAAGGCTCACTGCAAACACGGAGGATCCACATGAATAAAAACTTAGAGACATGAACTGGCTGATGTCATAAATATTGCAGTTAAATGGGAAGGTTACTCCTGGCCCCTGGAAAATGAAAACTAGTGAATAAAGTAGTGTCTGGTAATTGATTTCCTGGTACCTTCAGGAGTGATGTACCTGAGTCACCAGGTGGGATGAAGGAGAGATGTGACTCCAGGGATAGGGGCTGGACCATGGGGTAGAGCTTCTCTCCATTGCCAGGATTCTGACTCCTCTCTCAAGTTCTCAGCTGTAAAGAATGAAATCTCAAGGCAAGATGCCCCAAGTAGAGACTGGGCTATTTTTCCTCTTGGCTTGATGAGGGCTTTTGATGCCACTGCATCCTCCCTAGTCCCACACCTAAGATCCCAGGCTTAACCAGGCTCTGTCTGTGTCCTAGAAGTTTTACTGGCTGCTCTGTCAGGCACAAGAAGTTAACCCCTGGAGCGCCCTCTTTTAAACTCATGAACTGCATTTGAATAGACCCCCTTCTTCTCTGCATCCAGAGCAGCAAAGCAGCTGAGAAGTAAGCTTCTCTCTCCTAGCAGGTGCCTCAGTATAATGCACGCATTGTGCATTTTTATCATAATTGGTCTCATGGAGTCCCTGATACTTTGCTCTTTGTTTCATGCCTTCCCTCACTGGAGTCCAACTGGTCTCAGTTCCTTTTTAGTGCCTTTGGGAAATAAAGACGAATCCACAGGGGTAGGTGGATGAAAGAACACAGAATTCCTGTCCCCTTCATAGCAGCCAGAAAATAGAAAATAGAAGGGAGCGTGAAATAGCACCAAAGGGGGTGGGGGGGATCTGTATTTTTTGTTTAAACCAGGAAGGTGATGGGGTTAAATTTGGATGAAGATGATGGCATTGCTGATAAAACATGTTCACAATTTTGTTCCCCTCCCTGCTTTTCTTCCAATAATTCTAGCAGCTAAACCTGAGACTGTGAGTGCAGCCAATGTAAAGAATGTGCTGAGAGCGATATGCGTCTCACAGCTGTTGCCATCCTACCAGATCCGTAAGAATGAAAACAGATCTGAGGCCCAGAATAGGTCGGACTGAATAAAGCCGTGGAACCAGCCAGAATCCTATCATGTCACTCCGTGTGTGTGTGCGTGTGTGTGTGTGTGTGTGTGTGTTGCATTGTCGTCTAGAAAAACAGACATTGCAAGCCTCATTGGCCTGCTGCCGTTTTGCTCAGCAACCCCTTTCCTATCCAGGATTGTTTTGTCTTAACTGCCTGAAGAATGACCTATGCCTGTCCATTAATTAGGGGATGTAAACCTCACTAATGCCCACAGGAATTATATGCGTAAACCTGTTTGGTTTCAGGATCAATCCACATGGAAGCAGCTTGCAAGGACTGAGCAAAGCTTTGTGGCTGCAGTGGGTATGTGCCCAGTATAGCTGGCAACTGAAGTTAAATGTGATTCCAGCATTGGCCAAAGCGGCTCCAACCATGTCTTGGTGGGGCCCACCTTGCTTCCATGGGCCAAACATCACATGCAGCCTATGCGCTCTGTAGGGACGCGCCTGATTACTTGCAAACATTGCCCTCATGTTATGGGGCACTGAAATCTGTAGTCCTACGTGTCAGAAGCAAATTCAGCTCATGGAGATGAGGGGAACCATGCGGAGGGTTTGCCTAAGATCAGGGCTGATAGGCAGATGCAATTCTGCTGCCCGTTTGCAGTTTGCTTTATCACAGCATTACATAATGGCCCCCAATTTTGCACTTTTTCATAATGCTGGGTGGGGAACCCACAGTTCACTAATTTTAAGGATTTTGCAATTCCATTTCCCTGGCAGTACCATAACTGGTCGCACCAATAAATAAATAAATAAATAAAGATTGCCAACCCTATGATTATTGGAGGGGCTCAGGTATACCTTCTTTCCATCTTTATATGCACATCTGCTTGGGAAGAAACTGCAGGGCGAAGGGCAGGCAGTGAAAGTAGCCACATCACAGGAATAAACCACCCCTGGATGCCAGCCAGGCAGCTCCAGTTCCCTGCAGCTCTGCCCCACATGAGTCTCTGGGTGAGCGGCAAGAAGCTGTCCAACCAGCCCTCTCCATTCTCGCCCCACCTCCCAGGCAGGTTCCTTGCTCAGGCTATTGGATGCCTCACCACACACCTCTTTGGCTCATTATTATCTCAAACAATGTTGTTTTTGCCATTTGTATGTGGTTCAGAGAGAGACAAAGACCACAAGGGGAAAAATGTGGAGTGGGTGGATTTATTTATTTAGCCGATAACTGCAAACTTGCAAAGAAACTTATAGTGGTGACTTTTTATGATCCTAACTTGCTTTGCAGAATGTTAATTTTTTCAGCAAATATGCAAGTTAAAGGGAAGGGATGGTGAAGGGAAGGGGTGCTGAATTGCTGAACTGCTGTGAGCCTCCCAGAAAGCTTTGACTATTGGGCAGTATAGCGATGAAATCAACAATAGCAATAAAAATAATAGGAATTATAGTAATAACTGCAGCAATCAGAACAGCCACAGTCTGGAGGAAGAATCTGTAGCGAGTGGGTCAAGCACTAGCTCCATCCAAGGAGAGGCATCTTCAGATTCTGAAGAGGAGGCGGCGGCAATGGAAGGGTCAAGAGCAGTAGGAGGAGAAGCCCCTGAAGTTCCTTCAAGGTCACCTCCTGATGTTTCCCAGAGTGACCACGAGAGCAGGCCTGCTGTGGAAGAGGTCTTAGGCGAGGAAGGGGGGCAGGTGCAGGGCCTGGTCCTTGATGCTGTTATAAGGTGTAATATCACAAGAGACGAGCTACCCAATTAGAGGGCTTGCGTAGATCTCTGTGTCTGGCTCTCCAGCAATGCGAAGCTCCCTGAGGGGGGAGTCGCAGCATTCCTGCAAGGGAGCAACAGGGGGGAAGTTTCCAGTTTGGGTTCAGCTCTTGACATGACCAGAGGCTTATTCTTTCAGCTTGATGCAGGGCAAGTTAGGCCTGCACTGTCTTGTTAGCTGTGAAGTTTCAATAAAGATTTGCATTGTGGAGGATTGTCTTGAATTCTGAAGCCTGAGAGAAAAGAGGTAAGGGCAGTGTCTCACTGTTAGCACTACGGACGTTACATGCTTAGAAAGCAACAATTGTACAACATCAATAGCACTAGCAGCTGGACGCAGCTGGACCCTTTCCAGTGCCTACTTTTGCAGATGGGTAGAGCTGTGAAGCTCCCTATTCTGACGCAGGATGCAGGGTGGCTCTCCTCCTTCCCAGACCAAACAGCAAGTAAGGCCCACAAATCATTATGGTCCAAAAAGGACCAGGAAAAAAAAGGATTGCCCCTGCCCACCAGCAATGTCCCAGAACCCTGCATACACCTCAAGGCAAGGAAGACGTAGATGCCACTTGAGAGGTGGGGACTGGTGTGTGGGGAGGAGATGCCCTCCACCCCCTGGTCTGAAGTACAGGTGGGCCAAATCTGCTCCTCCTTTGAACTCCACTCCCAGAAAACAGAGTTTGGGACTAGAAAGCACTGGGAGAGGATTTGCCCCCTTAGCCTCATGGAAAGTCCAAAAGGGCTGCTGATGGTGTATCCGTGAACCTGGCTTAGCCAAGTCAATCTCCACCAGCAGCAAGTCCTGCATGAAAGGCCTTCATGACTCCTTTGACACCAGGCCAGCCCAAAATATTTCCCACTACAGCGGTGAGGCTCACAGCCATATGCTATTGCTGGGAAAACCCATTCTTCCCCCCACCCCTTGCCATGAAGAGGGCTGCACCACCTTCAGAGGGAGCAAGGAAGGAGATGACCTCATTGTCCAGGCGGATCAAAAAGTTTCAGAGCTTTGACCCTTTGGGACATGGTGCCCCCGTACATCCTGCAGTCGTCGTCCTTGAAGCTGTCCCACAGCCGTTTTTCAGCTCACATTCGGAGCGTAACAAGGCAAACGACTGCCATTATGTAATCTGTTCAAACTCTCTCCACCCACCCTGCTTCTCTTTAACCTTTACCTCTATTGATCAGACTGATGGCCTGAACTTTTTAAAACTCTGTCATAATAGAGATTTACAGAAGTTGCACATTTCCCCCACTTGTTACTTATCAGTAGCTTGTTTCGCGCTTTTCCATTCGATCAACGGCATAGTTAGTGGCCCTCAGTGAGGACCCACATGGAGGGCTGTACTTCATTGGAAGTACATATTTGGGGGCCAGAAAAGCAGTGGGTGGGCTCGCCCTCACTCTCTCTTTTTCTGCCATCCCATTTTCTCCTTCCCCGCTTTCTCTCTCCAACTTCTCCCTTGGTCTGTCTTCCCATCTCTCTCACCAGCTCCAATTTCCCTGAAAATTTCCAACCTGAAGAGCAGTTGGGCTTAGGAAAAAAAGTCTAACTAAGCTGTGGGGAGAGAAGTAGGGGAGACCGTGAGCCTGTTTCGGCCAGTAGGCTGTTCCCCATCTTTGGTTTAGGTTTATCAGCACACTAATGAGCTGTTCCCACCAGTCCTTGACCTAGAAGTGATTCCATTTTAGAAATGACTTCCTGTCTTTATACTTGGAGAGATTCCATGTTTGTGCCTTACTCCTGCTAGTGAGAACCGGAAGGAGCCGAGAAACAGCAAATGGTACAGAAATGCAGCAAAGTAATTTACGAGGATAATACTAAAAATGAAATCAATGAACTGCAACACCATCAGTATAAACAAGAATGAAAAGCAAAGCAGCAGTATAATCACTAAAAATGTTACCAGCTCATCTTTGTGGCAGCAAATTGTCTTAGTCACACATTGTTTCTGTCCTTAAACTAATGCCAATCACTTTTGTTTACTGTCACTGAGTTCTGGAACCTGTGCTCCCCACCCCCCACGCCCGATGTGGTTGGACTAAAACTCCCATAATCCACAGCCATCTGCTATGCTGACTTGGGAGGATGGGAACTGCAATCCAATGAAATTTAGCAGATCACAGGTTCTCTGCTCCATTCTAGACTGCATGTTTAGACATGCCTAAATCCTTCTTTCTGCGGAATTCGTATTTCAAAAGCACCCCTCTCCCTTTAGTATTTTCTCCAAAATTAACAGAGTGCCTTGCAGTAGCATTCATCTCCCCCTTTGACTCGTCCATGTTTTGTTGTGTCGCAGCCTGGAATTGAAATGCATTGAATTGGCATTGAGCACTTGATGCAGCAAAGATACCCAACTCTATGAAAGTGCAAAACATTTTTACTGGGACACAGAACTGAAAAAAACCCACTGGCACTTCTTGATTGCATAAATATTCATCCCTTTTGCTGATGAATTTAAGGAAGTTCTGATGCAACTCACTGCCTCCAGAAGTCACATACTGTAAGAAGCTGAATGCACAATCCGCCTATGCTCAATTCTACTGCCACATGATCTCAGATTAAATGCACCTGCTTTGGAAGGCCTCGGAGTTTGTTGGAGAGCAGATAGCCTCTAAATCAACAGCTGCATGTTACCAAAACAACTCTGGGATTTTTTTTTATTTATTTATTAAAACATTTTTATGCCGCCCCATTCGCCGAAGCCTCGGGGCGGCTTACAACAATAAATCCACAATAAAGTTGTGGAAAAGCATCCATCAGGGTTGGGATCTCAATCCACTATTTAAAAATGGAAAGAATATAGCTTAACCACAGCTCAGCCTAGAGAAAGCTGTCCCCCCAGACTCAGTGATCTCATAAGAAGGGCCTTAGTCAGAGAACTAGCTGGAGAAATTCGTACATGAGATGAGGGAAACTGTCCATGGGACACTGGGGCTTTATGGAAGAGCGGTGAGAAGAAAGCTGATGTTTCTGCAAACCCGTATCAATGCCCATTTGGAATTTGCTTAAAGGCACATGGGAGGTCCAGTGAAAAAGGGTTTCCTGGTCTGATGAGGCCAAAAGGGAACTTTTGGGCCTTGCTGCAAAATGTTTGCATGGCACAAGGCCATCAGGCTCATTGTCCTGGGAGTGCCATCTCATGATGAAGCATGATGGAAACAGTATCATGCTGTGGAGAGGCCTTCTCCTCAGCAGGGCCTGGGAAACTGGGCAAAGCTGAGGGCAAGGTGGAGGGAAGCGAATACAGGGTGATTCTGGAGGACAGCCTGACTCAGTCTGCAAGGGCCTGGGAGCTTTGGCTTCTGGCAGAACGACGGCCCTAATTACACAGCCAAAGTAACACTGAATCGGTTTCAGAGCAAGAACCTGAATGTCTTAGAATGGTCCAGCCTAAGCCCAGATCCCAGTCAGAGAATCTACAGCAAGGCGTCAACATGGCTCTTCACCAACAGACCTCATCCAACAAAGTAACCTGGAAGAGTTTTGCTAGGAAGAGTCTGTTTGTTTGTTTGTTTCATCCCATTTCTATGCTGCCCAGGGTTCTCTGGGCGGCTTACAATGAATGGGCGCAGCTCACACACACCAACCTGACAGAGACCTAGAAGAGGAGACTTGCAGCTGCAAAAGAATCACAGAATCATAGAAAAGCACGTAGCACTGGAGGTGGCCAGAAGGCCATCAGGTCCAACCCGCTGCTATTGCAGGGCACTAAGTTCCACCACCCCATTCTGATGGCTTGCTTCTACCATGGCTTGACTTGGGGTGAATATGTATGCAACCAGTTAGGCCAAGTTTGCTTTCTTGCACTGTTGAGTGTCTTGTGTATATGAGGTGGCAACAATGCCAGTTAAATCCATGTCAGTTCTAGGCTGCAACAAACAAAATATGGAGAAATTGGGGGAGGGGGATACTTTTCTGAGGCCCTGTACTGTTCTGACTGTACTGACTTCAACAAAATTTAAAAGCACAGTTCATGCATGCATTGCAGTAATGAGCTTCAAATAGCCCAATCTATGTTATCATGGAATCTTAATCAAGGGTGTGATTCCATGAATGTTTAGGCAGAAAAAATTCTTAGAACTCTTAAGCAGCCATGTATTTTTTTCTGTCTAAGCATACATAGGATTTTGCCCTAAGGCTGAAATCTTTTACCAATTTACCTAGTAGTATTTTAGCACAATGGCATTAATTTCTGAGATGACCTATGCAGGATGGCACCGTAAGTTTTCCAAATCCTTTGAATGCCAAACAGTGTCCAATCACAAAATATTATGTACATCCTTAAAAACATAGCCAAGGGTGCTTAATTTTTCTGAAGAATTCAGGATTAAGATTATTTGAGAATATAAATTCCATGTACTTAGATGGGAGGGGTACGACTCCAAGACAAACGTCCTCGTGCAGTGTAGCTTTGTCCTATTTCATAAATATTTAACAAATTGCAGAGTCAATCAGAAGCCAAATTATACAAGCTATTAGGAGCACATGATTTCAGCAGCAAAGGTCTCCAAGCAAACAGGCCAGGAGATCCCAGATACACTCGGGTGCTTTTATTCTTAATTCAAGGTATCTCAGATTGAGTTCCCCGAAGACACATTTCACAGTTTCCACATGGCCAACCATCTAGTTCTAGGGAATGGCGTGGGGGGCGGGGGGGGGGGTCCCTTGTTCCAAAAAGTTCCACACTTGAACCAGTGGACACATGAAAGTACATGGCAGAATTAAGATGCATTCTTTGAGCACGCAAATCCATTCCACTTGAATGTGCAGCAGGGCATCATCGCAGCAGAGCTGGCCAAAGTCTGTCCAGCCTCTAGTTCAACACCTGCACTGAAGGAAGAGCCACCCATCGGCATTCACATGAGCCTTCCTTTGCTGTTCCAGACAAACATGTGTGAATTCGGCTCAAGAGCTCAGGGGTTGGGTATCTGAAGCACATCACTCCTGTTCCTGCTCGATGCAGAGGGGAAATTAGGTCTCCTTTGGAGGATCATTATAAACAGAAGCCCTTCAAAAAGTCCTAGCTATGACAGCCCTGTTCCGCTCTTGCCACAAGGCCATGGCTTCCTTTACAGAGCTAATCCACCTCATCTTTGGTCTTCCTTTTCTTCTTTTAAAGGTTTCCGGTTTGTCTGGATTTATACTTCTCATGGTCCATGCTCCATGTGCCGCACCAGACTTTCTTTCTGCCTCTGTGCATGTCAGCTGCTAGACTTCCATGCAGTGTTGATCTGAGGTAAACCCGGGCACTCCAAAACGAAGCACAGGTTATGGCCACATCCCCATAACCTGCGGACAGCCACACCTTATCCATGACAGCCGTTTCTCACTGGGAGTCAATGGATGCCTATCAGAAACTGTGTAGGGGATGGACAAGATTGTAGCCTTTTCATTCTCATGGGAAAGCTAAAGTACACAGTTAGTTCAAATCGATAGGCTGAGACTGTGAATACTGCAGGGTGTGAGCCTATCCATATTTAGATGGAAAAAGGTGTATACCTCGTAGCATTCCCCGGTTGCAGAACCCTTTTTCTTCCCAAATATGCATAGGGTTGCACCCATATTCTTGTTTTTAATCTGCCTTATAACACATATTTCTGGGTTTCCTATTCATTCATCCATTGCATTGTGTTTCAGCCCAATAGCCCAAAGGTTTCTTTGGGCAGTTTACAAACATTAAAACCCTGTATACAAACAATAAAATATCCAGATAAAACCCAGAAGGCTAAAAGCAACACTAAAAATACAAACAGCAATAACTCCATATATTTTTATTAAAATTTCATTATACAATTATATTATAGGGCTATTATAAAATATATCTATATCCTAGAGATATATGCTCTGATCTTGCTGGGCATGCATGTGTGTGAGGTATATTTGTCATTTGGCCACACTTACTTCAGATTGCTCCATTTCATCGATCTCATCAACTTGACTCAGCTTGGGAGCGCCATATTTATCTGTCAGCTCTGCTAAAGTCTTTGTAGTCACTTCCTTTTCCGCTGTTGCCTTCGCCTCAAGTTCAAAATTCATTTTCAAAATTCCTTTCCAGCTAATAGACTCAACAGAACAAAACTGACAGATGCACAACTGAATTTGCAAGCTTTCTATCATTGCTTTAGGCTGCAGACCTGGGGCCGATGAGTAAACCCATGAGAACCCACAAGGCTCCGTGGTCTGCTGCCCCCACTAAGCTTCTGAAGCAGCTTCTTTTTAAAATCTGCTATCTTGAAAACAGACACAACATGGGGCCAGCAATAAAATATTAGTGCGGGATGCTTTTGTTCAGAGGGCCAGCGGGCCATGTCTTCCAACACATTCCATCCCATTCTCCCCAGCACTGTCTCCGTCGCAACATATGCCCACTGGCATACCCAGTCTGGGCGGGGGTGCTTTTGTGCCCTACTGAGGAGCTTGACTACCTCCTGCCACCCCACTGAAGAGTTTTGTTCGTTCTTTCCCCAGAGTGGGATGATCCCTAGCCCGGAAGGTGTCACAAGGCTCCATGGAGAGAATGAGCTTGCTGAGAGTGTACAGAGGATAATTACTTGATACATGAAAGTAAACCACATGATTCCCTTTAAAAATCTGCAAAGAATGTGGCCTCTGATACCGTTTCAGGCCCAGTTGAAGCTGCTGCTCCACCTGTCCAAACCTTCAGTTTTTCTAGGGTGCAACCTGTGCAGGCTTGGAGGGGGGGGGGGGGGGAGGGGGGGGTCCTACCTTTCCCAGCATGCCCCAGTCACTCCGCTGGGGTATGCTGGGGTTTTCCTCTCCGCTGTCCAAACTTGCGTAGGATCGCATCGGGAGGCTGCGCTCTGGGGAGCAAGCGCCACGCAACGCGCCGTCCGGTTGGGCCGCGCGCTCCCCGGGGGAAGCAGGC